TATATTGAAATTAAAAAAAAAAAATAGTTTGAAATTATAGTAATAAAATTCATTTTGATATATTTTTCTATAAAGAATTAAAAAAATCTACATTTAGCTTTAAGACTATGATAAATTTTTATTAAATTTATTTAATAAATGATGACGATTATTGGAGAACTTGCACTTTTAAAAAACTATAATTAAAAATTCTTGAGAATAAACTAACTAGGGATAATTTTAAGCTAATTGATTAGTTTGATTTGGATTAAAAATATTGTCTTTATTCTGGTATAATTAGAGAGGAGATGTTTATAGCTGTGAAATGTATATTTGACAAAAATGATTCAAATTTAATAATTTAGTGTAATCATAATTTCAGAATAAATGAAATATCAAATTTCTTCCATTTACTTTACTTCATTTTATTTACTTATTAGAAGTCTTACATTGCTTTAAACATCAACATGTCTTAATCAACATGATTTATTGATTTTTATGTCAAATTAATTCATTGTTATAAATTTATCCCCATATATAAGGGTTTTATATTAAAATTGATCAAAGTAGCTCATCAACATTTTAATAAAATTAATATGTTTGTTTATTTTATTTAAAATACTTTTTATCTAAGAAATAGATGTATTATATAAGATATCAATAATTTTTAGTCAATCCTCAATTAATTTTAATTATTTAAAAAAAAAAATAATTTCAACACTTATATAAATTTTAAAGAATAAAAATTCATTCTAATTATTTTAAAATCATCTTTTTTTGTCAATTATATTTATTAAACCAATATTGTTGCTTCTTTACTATATTTAAACATTTATTTATTTATTATTTCAATAAGAATTTAATGAATAAATTATTCTACTAGTAATTTTTTTTTATTGTCCTTACATAAGCTGAAGAAGTTTGGAAAACTGTTTATTCTGAATTTTTCTCAGACTCAAAATGGGATACATCAGGTATTATTAAATTTCTATCATTAGGATGGTAAACATCCAATATTTATGGGGACCCATTTAGTTTCTGTGCTGACTAAAAATTATTTGGAGGATATTACGTTTTTGGTCCATCTTCCTTACTATCTTCAAATTTGAAACTACCACCTCATTACTCTGTAAAATTTTCACTTAAGCTTTGGAAGTAAATATAATTTTGATTTTTAGAATTGACAGTTGGGATAATGAGACTTTCTAATTAACATTTGATAACACAAACTATACAAGGTAATTTACAAGGCCTGAAGGATAGGATATTTGTGGTGTTAGACATTATTTAGCCATGGATTTTTCTATTCCATTAAGCTTTACTTTGGAATAACACTATTCTTAATCTCTTGTTTTAATAATGACTTCAAATGTAAATGAGTATTATAATGTATAAATTTTTATAATTTTAGGAAGCATGGGGAATTCAAGATTTTAAAATTGAAATTTTAGATTGTCCTTAAGGTTGTTAATTTTGCCATGATTAAACATCTGATTGTAAATTTTGGAGTAATATTGCATCATATTGGCAAACTTCAATTAACTCTGAAGGATGGCAAATTGATAATACTTAAACACTAACATCAAGTATTTGTGCTGGCATTGAAATTGCAGGGGGAACTAATATTCTTCAACAAGGACAAAATATCAAAAAACTCATTGATATTATTCCAAGTCACTTTAAAGTTTAAATAATTCTTAAACTTTGGGTTATTGGTAATTGGGATGGTGAAAATTTTATTTTGAAAATTGATGATTAAATTGAAAATTCATTCCCATTATTTATTTAGACTCCTTTAAAAGTAGAATGTGGTACTTAACAAAAAGTTAATATAACTAATATTGCTGTAAATGCGTTGCATACATCCCATCAAATACAATTAGAAATGAAAACAAATAAATAAATACAAAAGGTTGCATATTGGGGTGTTTAATCATTTGACTTGTATGTAGCTAAATGTTCGATTGGTTGTAAAGAATGCATAGGAGAATTAGGTATTTAATGTAGTTCTTGTTATAAAAAATGGTTATATTTAGATAACGAATGCACTCCTGGTATATATTTTATTTATATTTTAGTTCCTCCATTAGAATGTGCTCATATGAGAATCTAATAATCTTATGGTTTATAAGTTGATTACATGAATTCCTTCCATTTGTATATTGATGAATTAGATGAAAATTTTAGAGGAATTGGTTAACTAATTTAGTTTTAGATTAGAGTATTTCTTCTATTACTTTATAAATTTATGTCTAATGTTAAGAATAAATGAAAATTGAAAGTTATTTTAGAGGTTGTGGTTCATTTAATCCAGGATAATTATCATCTATAAATTATTGTCCAGATAAAAGTAATACCTTATTTTAAAATGCAATATTTTTGGAGGTTTTGGAATATGAAAAAGAATTAATAATTAATATTTAAGAAAGAAAACTTGAAATTTTCTAAATATCAGTTGCGAATGAGACCGTAACTGAAATTTTATTAATTAAAATTGAATTATGATGAAAGAATTAGTTTTATGTAAAAATTATGTCCTTTATTTGATTTTTATTATTAATATTAAATTATAATCTTTGCTTATATTATTTAATAATGCTACATATTAGTCTGATTTGATGTATCATGGATAGAGTTGTTATTTAAGCAGCTATTCTTTCTAAATTGTATTTATTTTAAAGTCAACTTAGTTAAAATTATTTGTGTAGGCATTAATAAAGTATAAGCTAAAAGAGAATTAATCAATAAAAAAGATTTATATTTTTGTTTTGAAATCATGAGTGAATATAGTTATTTAAAAGGCCATGATTTACTTAGATTCATTCCATTAAATTAATAAATTGGAAAAATATACACTCATAAAAAATTAAAATTATTTTATAGGTGTATTTTTTTACTCTTACAAAATTAAAAAATGACTACCTTTCAAAACTCTATTTTTTGCATTTTAATACAACATAATTATGATGTATTATTACGGATTATTTATTTAAATTAAATAATTTTATTTACAAATAAGGGTAGGTTGAAAAGTTTTATACAACATCATTTCGAACAAATTAATAAATTTTTTATTCATAATGGATGATGAAGAAATTCCAATTTGTAGATTGTGCCACAAGACCTATTTTTAATAATGTTGCTGTTGGATACAATTATCTATTGGGAGCATTTTCATAATACTATCAATCATTGTAAGTTTAGTTACCTATGAAACAAACTAAGAACAATTAAGTTTTATCCCTGCGTTGTTATTTTTAATAGGTTTTATTTGTGTTCTAACTTCATCCCACAAATTGCCAAGATATGGATCAATGAATAGTGAAACAATAATTTATGATTGAAATTTTTGATAAATTCATAATTAATTTTAACCAGGTTTTTCATTTTTTAACAGCTAAGAATTTTATTGTTTTTTCTAATTGTTTTTTTTATTTAATATCAAATATTAAACTCTAAGTACTTTCTACATTTCCTTAAGACTTGATATAATCTTTGTATTAAATTAATCTATAATTCTTAAATATATTTTAGTTTTATATAATCATATTGATAAGAGTTTTAAATTAATACTCAAAATATTTTAAGTTTAATATTTAATTAATAAGAATTAATCAAAAGTATACTATCTATTTATATATTTTATCAATATAGCAAAAACATTATTAATTTAAATTATTATTTAAGATGTAAATAAGAAATATAATATTATTCATTATTAACTTTTCCTTATCAAATGTTATGCTTATTTTAGTAAATTCATAATAGTATCTTTTTTTGCATTTCTCTTCTTCTTAAAATTATGCTCTATGTTAAATTCATTTTTATAAAACTAGAATAATATTAGATTAAAATATACTTAAAATAGAATTGAAGATATATTATTATTTGGATAATACCCTTAATATTCCTTTACTTTTTCAAAATCTTTAAAGATTTCAAGATATTATCCTCTAATTAATTTATGTCCATCAGTATCTTCATCTGATGAATCATCAGAAGTTATCTTAATACCTAACCCTCTATATTTAATTTTATTATTATTGTCATTACTCTCTTTACTTTCTTTATTATGAGATATTATTGTTTATTGTCTATCTATCTATTACTTTAATTATTCTTCTTTTTATTTAAGTTTTTCATACTAAGTCATCATACTTTATTCTAATGCTTTAAAATCTTGTTCTGGAAAATGAAGTATTTAATTTTAATTAGATTCCTAAAATGATATCTATTTATCACCAAATCTTTATTTATTTTTGATTATCTATTCTTCTAAATATAAATTTGTTTAATCTTTTTCCTAATGATAATATTAATCATTATTTTCATTAACTTAATAAATATCAATATTAGGTTTAGGAGTGCTATTTTTAATAGAATGACTCATTGAATTTTCTAATCCAAAATGTGATTCATCAATTTTATTTGCTTTTTTTTATAAATTTTCTTATGTCTTTTCAATTTAATAAATATAATCATTTAAACTATTTTTTCTATTTATCATCTATTATTCTTAAAGTTCTTTTTTCTATAATTATGATGTAATGAATAATTTATTAAATCCAAATTATTTAGTAAACTTTTCACGATTATCTTCTCTTTCAGAAAGCAAACTTTTAAATTATTTTAACTTATTTTTTTAAGGAATATATTCTGTACGTTATTTTTCAAATCTCTACTTTATAGAATGATTATTTTTTCCTATTCTTTATTGAATCCAATATGGTTCTTTTGTACCAGTATCATTTGATGGTATGATTGAATTTTCTTATTTATAAACATAAGGTAATTATTAGCTAATATTAACTGTAATATTATTTTAATTATCTTTAATTTCATCTTTATGTGATTCTTCTAATATAGGTTATATTTTTTAATTATTCAAAGTTGTTATTAATCTAATATCTTATGATTTACTTAAAGTACCAAATTAATTTTATTTTTCTGAAAGAACTTCTAGGTTCTATAATAAATTATTATTTTTTTATAAATTTTGATTATATATTAATGAAGAATTAGATTTACAATTAATTGAAATTGGTATATTTTAAGATTGTGATATTTGATTTGTTAATTGATTTGATTATGTTTAAATTATCTTTTCTTCATATTATTATTACTATTTCATGACTGCTTGATATTCTAATTTAAATTGAGATATTACATTTTTTGATTCCTTCTAGACTACAGAGTTCATCATTCTTCATTATATATTATAATACACTTTCCATGATATAAAATTAATGTTATTTAGTTGATATTCTTCTATAATGATTATTTCTTAATTAAAATCTTCTATATTATAATATATTATGTCTCAAATGATACAATACTTTTGTTCTGTTTATACATCCTCTAAAAAGTGGACAAGTAAGAACTTAATGATTTGATTTACCACAAACTGAACATTTAATTGAGATATTTTCATATTTATTTTATAATCTTATATCATCTTCAAAATTCTTATAAATTTCCTTATATTTATATAATATTTTACATAATCAATGTCACTCTATTTTATGTTTTCTATTAAAGATTATCTATCAATAGTTAATATCTTAGTATTTTTAGTTGCAATAGCTTCATAATTATATTCATTATTAAGAAAATAATTCAATTAACCAATTAAACAAGGAGTCTTTATTTTTTCAATAATTCTTTTTTTTTTATTAATCAAAACATATAATTCTATTTATCCATTTACAAAAATATATAATTTATCAGCTAGATAATTTTATTTAAATAAATATTCATCTGGTTATAATTATTATTCTTATAATTGTAAACATAATGTATTAAGTAAAGAATTACTAAATTATTTAAATAAATCTAATTATTTTAGTAATTTTATATTAATTTCTACAATCATTTAATTCTTTAATTATTAAGGAATTTAATCTTGAAATTGAATAACTTCTTAAGAAGGTTTACTCCAAAAATATTCAAAATATCTTCTGAATTTTATTTATAAAGTTGGTGATACTTTTTAATTTTTTAAGTATTTATTTAAACTATTCATATTTGTTTTAAATTAAGTAGATTGTTTAGACATATCTTTAAATATTTATCCAATACTATTTACAGAATAAGCAAAGGTTGCAGTTGATATTAATGTCATAATTATACAAAATAATCTTTCAGTTAAATTGACAGGAGTGATATCACCATAACCAATAGTTGTCATTGTAACAATACTCCAATAGAAAGATACAATATATCTATCAATCCATAAAGAATCTTAAAGTTATTGTTATTTAATCCATGTTATTGAAGTTATATTTCCCCAATTTCCCCATATTCCTAATTTATGCCATATGCAGGCAGAAAAATGTGCACAAAATAAAATGAAAAATCTTTTTATTAATTTATTTTATACATCAATTTTATGAGTTCAAAAATAGCTGTTTATTACTATGTCAATTCTAAACGATTAAATAATGAATATGTTAATTTTGATATTTAAAACATTTTCAAAATTATTACTAGATCTAAATAAAAAAAATCTAATTATCTTCCAATAAAAAATGGAATGATTAAAAGCATATCAATCAAAAATTCTCTCTTTAGATATCTCTTTATTAATCTTTTTCTGTTTTTTATAAGTACTCCTTTACTATAAATACAAGTATTAAATTTTATAATAATTTCTAATATGAATGAATAACTTGGCAATTATTCAAATATAAAATCTTTTAAATCCCAATTCATTTCAACTATTTCTTCAAATGATAATCTTAATGAAACATAAAATACATTTATAGTAACAATCAACAAAAAATAAATATTCCAAATTATTATTATTATGTCATCTGGTTCTAATAAAAACATCTACAGGATTCGCTTAATATAATTTCTTCGAAAATCTATTTTAATCAAAGTTACTACATTATAAGAAATTGAATGTTTTATCTAATTTAATCATATAAGATTAAAGATTAACTTCTTCAAAATATCCTTTATACAAATAATAATGATAATCAGCTGTACTATCCTTCAGTAATTTAAAAAATTAATGATTAAGCATATTAAAAGAATTCTTAAATTTTTACTTAGTAATTCCTTAAATAAATTTTAGAACTATCAAAATTATATTAAAACCATAGAGTTTCCAAGTATTATTCAATTACTGTTAAGATAATTGCCTTCTTAATAGATTTTAAGTCTATTTATTCAATTAAGTATCAAATCTCTTTGAATTCTATTGTTCATCATATTATTATTAAGAGTTATTCATAAATTATATTTTTATATATTATTTAATTTCAAAATAAAAATGTAATACAGTAATTCATTATAGCTTATTCTTATAAAACCTTTTTTTTATCATCATTCTTAGATGTAATTATTGATAAAAATAGATCCTATATATCTCCTACTTTCTTAAGAATCTAGAGAATCATTATAAATTATGTAATGATTTGTGAATAACAGATCAATCTACATATTAAATTTTACTATTATTTAAGCTTCAAATTTAAATTTATTTGTTAAATAATATTTAGATATCAAACAATTAATTAAAGATGTATTGGTAGGTTTAAAGTAAATTGTATTATAATTATTAAAAAGCAAAATTAGAGACTTTTTAAGACTAACTTTAAAGAATCCTTTTCAAAATAAAATTGAAATTAGAAAAATTATTCTCGAATAATGATTGAAATTCATCAAATTGTACAAATGATCTCATTTTCAATATAAAATAGTAAGAAATCAAATATTAAAAATGATTACATTTGTTTTCAACTCATATTTGATATTATATCCAAATAATTTTACACAATCTATGATCTCTCTCTATAATACTAATTTAATGTATTATGACCTCTTTCTAGCTCTATCTTATCTAATCAATATTGCCAATTTAGACTGGTTTTTATTTGCTATTAAAACTTATATGATAAAATTTTTCATTATATATATTACAACTTTAACAGATATTATTTAAATTTTAAGATCTGGCTTATAATAGTGATCACTATGATAAAATATTTCATTCATAATTTATTTAGAGGATTAGAATTATCTTTAATAAATTTGATATAATAATATAAAGGAAAGAAATAAAATAATTATATTGATATGAATAAAGATTTTATAATCAACTTTTGATATTATTTGAACTATCCTATATAGTCTAACATTTTGATTAAAGACTTCTTGATAGTTTTAAACATATCATAATTGATTTAATGAAAATTCCTTAAGAAAGTATTATTGTCTAGAACCAACCTAATAATATCTTTTTCTCTTCATTAAAAAATTGATTAAACTCTTAAATATATAAAAAAGAACTTAGCATAAAAATGAGTACTGATAATTCAACAATCATCTAAACAATATAATTATATTTTTCAAAGATATTCCGATAGTAATATATCAATTTTATTTGTAATACAGATGTTAAGATTAATTGTCCTAATTAAAGTATCTGGGAGTTTTATGTATATGTTAAGAATAATAAAAAAAGCACTTATCTAATATAATTGAGAACTTCAAATCTTTGTATTTGGTTCATCTTCAATACAGAGTATGTAAAATTTGTTTAAAATTTAAATGGATTTATTGCAATTCCAAAATATATTATAAACATCATTATTGCCATAAAAATTTTTAAAATATCTAAATAATTATATATCTAAATATTTTGAATACAAAAAAATATTTTAAATGTTACATCCCAACTATTGAGTAGTAACAATTTTTATAACCCTTAATTAGACATTAATTATTCTAGTTTTATTAATTTTAAGCAAATTTTATATAAAGTTGAATTGAATTAAACAATTTTAGTTGTTTGAAATAATTAAATTGATGACATATATTCAAAGTATCTTGGACAAAATATTTTATTATAAACACTATTTTTGATACATTTTAATATAAAAATAAGAGATAAAAATAGTAAGCATTAAATTATTTGAGGTGAAAGATTAATAAACAGATTTGAATTCTATTTTTATATGTTTAATTATCTTTGAGAATATTCTGGTTTAATATTTATTATCTTAAAGATTAATGGAAATTTAATAAAATCTAATAATGGTTAGACAGTTATCAAATCATAAAATGTAAAATATATTTCTAAATTTAAAGGAAATTATAGATTTATGTATCTTAAGTATTGTTAAAATTATAGGATACTCAAAATTTCAATAAATAATTATCCTTTTCCAAATAATAAACTAATTGTAGCTATTCCTGCTTAACCATAAGTCAAATATTTATTTGATTTTTTTAACAATTATGAATAAAATATCTAGTTTTCATTTAAATATTTTGAATTCTTTAAAGTTATCGATTTTTAATATTGATTCAATTAAGTATTATCGCTATTAAAAACAGGCTAATTAATTAATATTTTCAAAACTGGATGAAAATCAAGTAACTATAAAATTTCTATCATTATAATGTACTCTCCAAAAGTCAAATTTTACCCAACATCCTGTATTATTTATAGACTACTATTCCAATATTGTGTTGTAATATTTATTAATTCAAAAGTAATAGTTTGAGATAATGGTTAAGATGTGTATATTTTTACTTATTAACTAAATTAGATTTTAATATACTAATAGTTTTAAGTCATATTAAGATAATAAATTATTAAATCTGGGGTTTTAACATAATTACATTAACTTCTAGAATCTTTTGATATTGTGATACATTTCCAGTTTTCTTCAATTTGACAATTCTTGCATCCATCAGCTACTTAATCACTTCCATCATCACATTATTCTTATTCTTAAAGTAGTCCATCTCCACAATTCATTTATAATTTCATATCATTATTCTGATATTATAAACATGTACCTTATTAGCAATTAAGGCAATCTAGAGGACATGAATATTTGCAATTCAAACATCCATCAAATTCTATTGTATTACCATCATCACAATCCTCTTCCTATGTTATAATGACATCACCACAAATAGAAAGACAAGAATTATTAATAAATTCATATCCATCTAAACATTTTAGAATACATTATCCTCTATCACAAATATTGCATCCTTCAATACATTGAAACTTGCATTCAAAACAACCATCATAAGGTTATAAATTCCCGTCATCACAATCTTCATATTATTCAAGAATCAATTTATCTCCACAATAAGGTTAACATACAAATTATAAATTAAAAAATCCTTGATAACATTCTAAACAATTTGAAAAATAAATGGTTTTGCAATTAGGAATTGAAGTAAATTAACAGTCTTTGCATTCATCTTAATCACTTTCAATCTCGCATTTTTCATTTGAATATGGTATTAAAATACCATCTCCACATAAAGGAATGCAAATATTATCTATATTAAGAATAAATCCAGTTTCACATTCTTAGCAAATTCCAAATTAACAAGTTTTGCAAATATTATCACATGAAAATTAACATCTAAAACAGCCATCATTAGATATTTGATTTCCATCTTCGCATTCTTCTTATCCTTGAATAATTTTATCTCCACATATCGGCTGACAATTCTAAAGAAACTCATCCTAGCTCCACCCTTCTTGACAAATTAGACATTAATTATTTATTTAATCTAAACAACCTGGAAAAAAATTTTGAAAATGTATTTCTGGAAGTGAATAAAATAGTTCGAAATCTCTAATCAAACTATATTAATTAACTTCTTAGGTATAGATATTCAATTTTAATATAGGATCAGGATGATTTTTAATTAATATTTCTGTTAACTTATAGTATTCATCAGTAGTTATTTAGAATCCATATACATAGTCAATCACTATCTAAAAGGAAGTTCTCTTATAAAACCTTAATAATATGTTTTTATGAGGAGGTAACTCAGTAAAATAATTGATGACTTGAAATTTCAAATATTAACATTGTCCACAATAAAAATCACTTATTTAATTTAATTAAAAATTCCATCCATCAGCAAATGTAATCAATTTCTTATTTAAAGAATATTAATGTAGTTTCCATTCTGCACAACTTTCAGGATAATTATCAATACATGCTTCACATCCATACTAACATTTGATGATACTTAATTTAAAAGTCTTTAATCCTCCATAAACTAAACTTATACTAACCCATAAAGTTCCTCTGTTATGTTAGCCAAATATTGATATTGTTATTATAGAATCTAATAGTGATTTACCACAAATTTAATCTTCATATGGTGGCATTTATATTTCTTGATGGGCCAATGTATTATCTATATAAAACTTCGGTACTTTATAACTATCGATGCTTATAAAATTTAGAAATTATACAAACCTTAAAACTTCTACATCCACTCTATAATGAGAATGAGGTTCTATATCTAAAAATATTCTGCTAATATTATTAGACCCATTCGACCCAAAATATTTAAAAGTTCCACATGTTAAGAAATTAGACTTACCCTACCAATCTAAGACTTTTAAATTATACTAAAATACCATCTAATAAGTTAGAATTTGCATCAAACTAATATATCACTGTTTAAGCAGTAATATAGATCATTAACGTCATTTTGATAATCATTATTAATAATTATAATTGTTTTAATTATTTTGATTTAGAGTATAAATTAAAAAATGACATAATCAATCAGTTCCATTCTTAATACTATTTTAATTTGTCTTCTATTTTCAAACTAAAATTAATCAAAAAGAAAAACTATATTATAGTTAATTAATAAAGAGGATTAAATAAATAACTATTAGTATAGGTAATTAAAAAAAAAATATTAAAAGAAATCTTGAATATTGTATCCATAATTTTATCTAATATCTTTTTCAAACTCTTATTTAAATACAAACTAATAAAAGATTTAATATAAATTTATTCTTAAGGAGTAAAATATTAAAAGAAAATATATGTGATGATTTAACTGCTTTTGGGTATAATAGAATTTTAGGTATTCTAAATATATATATGTACGCTAGCATAGAAAAATCTTGGGCTAATACTAATATCTATTATTTTTCTGTTCATGTTATTTAATAGTTGATTATTATTATTATATATTAAAAAATAAATATGAATATTTCTTGATAAGATTAATTTCACTTTTTATATTTATTAACTATCATATTATAACATTCCAAAAAAGCTATAAGTAATTTGATCTCTTTTTTACATTAATCTCTGTATTTCTGTTATTTACCAAATTATCATAAAACTTATCTAAATGAATTTGTAATTCTAAAATATCCCTCACTTATTTAAATACATTACTATTTTATAAACCAATTTTTAAGTTACTTATTCAATACAAAGAGTAAAATCATAATTCATAATTGATTTAAGACGTTAAAAGTATTAAATTATTAGTTTTAATTTTAAATTAAGTTAATGGTTAATATATTAGGAAATATATATTTTGTAATGTCCAAATTTAAATAGGATCTTCAAAATTTCAATCAATATGTAGAGTGATATCCTAATATTACTATTTTATATATTTAATGGTTAAATAAACAAGTCTTATTTATTAAGATATGAAAAATTAAATAAAAGTCTTGGTACTAGAGCTAATATCAAGCCAAGATAGGAAATCAAATTAAAATAAAATACAAATTATTTGGATATAAATAATTCTTTTATTTCAATAAAAAAGGTTGTCTATTAGTATTCTTAATATTTTGTTCAATTTTCTCCATTTAATATAAATTTTCATAATCAAATATTTATGTATAAGTAAATAATTTATAGTAATGTTCTTATAAAAACTTATAATAAATACATGATGGATATTATTCATAAAGAAGAGATAATAATAGTGATTTTTAATTTAAATTCCTTGCATTTTTATATTTCAAAATTTGTACCTAAAGCAAGATTTGGTAGAAATTTAGATTGAAGTCTTGGTGATCCATTTGAATACTATTGTTATTTGGTTTTAAGAATTATAAAAGAAAATAATTTTAATAATTAATGATCTAAAAGAAAAGGTAATATTTATATACTTCATCTTATTATTAGATGTAAATAAGATAATAATTTATTTATTTAAAAAAAAACAAAAATGTACTAAATAATCGATGAATGAATTTTTAATAAAAAGTAAAGCTTAAAAATTAGATATAGCCATTTTTAAAACTTATATAATCATCTTTCAGAAAAATGTTAATAATCAATGTTTAATTTGATTATTTTCATATTGAACATAAAATAATCAAAATATTCTGCAATTTTTTTTTGTGGTCGTACTTTTTTATAAATCAATCTCTTTATATTATCTAATTTATAATTATTTTGATTTGCTATCCCATGTTATCAAATATTCTCCATCCTCACTCATAGTACCAAATATATTCCCTAACCAATTATTAGGATAATCAAATTCTATTGCTTACTCTAAATGGCCATCAAAGTTTGAAGTATTAAATCGTATTATATTCAAATTATAACCATTTTTAGAAAGAAAAATGAGTTTTGAAGGAATGTAGACACATGGAAATAAAAAAGTGCAAAATTATTAACTTCCTTTTATTTGTAATTCTTTAGTTTTCAAATATAATCCTGTCTACTACTCAAATTTATAGAGCAAAAGTTTATTTGATTACCAAGATTAAAATGCAAAAGTCTCTTTAGTAATGAAGGATAATCTTACTCCTTAACCTTATATTTTTTAAATAATTTTCCATTTCTGATTATCAATATATTTTATGATTAATATTTGATGATCATCTCCACAAGAAATTAGCACATTGCCTTCTTAATTTAAAGATAATGCAGCAACTGAATTTGAATGTTCTTTAATAGTTTATTAACAAATCCATTACAGTTCTTTTTAATACCAAAATTTTATTGTAGAGTCCCTAGAACCACTAATAATAATAGAAGGATTGTAATAACGATAAACTATACATTAAATCATTGAGGAATGCTCAGAAAGTACAAAAAGACATTTTGGATTAGATAATAGATTTTGAGACCATATTTTAACACAGGATGATCCAGAAATTATTAAAGACATTTAATTACAAAAGTTAAGAGTAGTTATCCAAGATTGATGTTTTTAAATTATTTGAATCTTTTTGATTTCTCCATTATTGAATTAAAATACATTGATGTTTGATTCAGCACCTGTAACTAAAAATTTATTATTATGATTAATAGCAATGGCCCAACACATTTTTTATTATAAATAAATCCTCTATGGAAGTAATTCATACTTGAACTATTTTTCTTTTGATTAAAATTATTCTTCAGGATGCCTTTCCATGACAAAACAATCTTTTAAAATTTTAATTAGAAATTTTATTAACATCTATCAATATATAGTTAGAATTAGAAAAAATGTTGTAATAGTTATATAATAATTGATTCTTACTCTGAAATGTTTTAAACTTAATTCAGGCTATTATATGGTCTTCAAATTTAATTAAATACTTAAAATTTTAGATCTAAGATTATTTATGATTATACTAACAATATCAAAATAGAAGTTTGATCAGATTTAAAATTTAAAAAAAAGCTAAACTATTTTGGAAAAATATTCCTTATAAGACATATATATTTAAGAAATTAGAATCTATCTTAAACAATAACATAATTATTTCTGTATTTTTAAATAAAATGTAATCAATTTAAAAGCTCTATATTATTTAGATTATCAAATGACAAATCAAAATTTTTGTTTAAACATATACTATTTTAAAAGTTGTCAATCTTAATTGTTATAAAATATTTAATAATCTCAATTCATTTGAATAATTATTATATCTCCTTTAGAATTCATTACAACATTAAATTACAATTATATTTTTAATTTAATTGTAATTTTCAATCATGAATTTGAAAATATAGTTTTTTATGTCTGATATAGTTATTTAATCAGATCGTAAAACATTTTCATATGAAATACTTAGAGAATATTCCATCAAATAAAAAGAATATTGCACAGCATTGGCTATAAAAAAGGATAATTCATTAGTTTTGGCAACGGCCGACAAAGCTATAAAATGTTTTTAATTTAGATAAGGATAACTTAAATAATTCCAATATATGAATATGTTTAGAAAAGATATTACAACACTTAACTTATTTGAAAATAAATCCTTATTCATAATTGGTTCAATTGATTCATCTATTCGAATTTCATCCACTAATTTAATTTCCTCTTCTAAATACATTCAATAATTAGATGGACATTCAAGTTGGATTTCTAATATAATTATACATCCTATAGATTAAGATGTTATAATTTCAAGTTCTAATGATAGTTCAATAAAAGTATGGTAAAATATTTAGAATTGGATTTGTTGTTAAACAATTAAAGAACATAAAAAAGAAATTAAAGGATTATCAATAAATTAATAAGGTAATTAATTACTTTCTTGTTCTGATGATTTATAAATCTTTATTATGGAACCAAAGAATTAGTAAAATTATTAATTTTGGTAAATAATATAGAAAATTAATGTTGATTAATCTGGTTATCGTTTATGTTATATAAATGATAATATTTTTACATTTTAATAGAATTCTAGTAATCATTTAAATATCTATTCAAAGGATGAAAATGATTTTTATAGTAAAACTGGATAACTTGAAGTTGGAGGTGGTGGATAATCTTGTGATTTTTTATTTCCATCTATCTATTATTCTAATAAATAGATTTTGATTAATAAAAATGGATGTACAATTAATATTATTAGATATTGTAATTAAATCAATTTGAATGATGGGAAAAATTGTTAATTTGTTTTAGAATAAACAATAGATTATGGAGATTATTCATATGGACATATTTGGGGTATGTGTACATAAGATTAATAATATTTAATAACATGGGATTGTGATTCATCAGAAATTTAAATAAGAAAATACTAAGAAAAGTAATGACATATAAATTATTTTTATTAAGTATTATTTTCTATGTATTTAATTAATAAGTATATATTACAATTAATAGTTAAAAATTCATCTCAAATAGTTTATAAATGTAAAATTTAACAATGGATATAAATATCTTATAAAGACATTCAATCATCAAGATGAAATAAAATGAAAAGAATGAGATGAAAATAAAAATTGGAGTATAATTATGCTTCATTCAACAATAATTAATAATAATTATTTAAGTATTTGAATAACTATTTAATAACTATTCATAGAGATTAATTTTTATATAAAATAAGATTATTTTAATTATTTGTACATAAATAATTATCATATTCAAATACATAAAATTAGAAAATAAAAGTTTTTTTGTTAAAATACTATTAATTTATTTCAATAAAATAAATTTGTTTATTGAGTTTATTTTTATAGTATTTTTTATTTTTTTTACTTCCATTTTAATATAAGTTTAGTTAGTTTAATTTTAATTTAGGATGCATATCTAATTAATGGAGCAGTAATTCCAATAGACAACAGACTAATTTATACAAATCCTATTAAAACTTAAAGGTCTTAACTTAAATAATTAACAAAATTTGAATCAAATGAAAGATTAAGCAATGTAAATATAATAATAGGTATTTCAAAAATAAGAATTGATATTAAATCAATTTTATTATTCACCATTTTACATAAAATAATTAGAATAATATATAAAGTATTTATGAATGCAATTAATACACATTACACAATAGGATTTCTTTAAGATCCTATTAAAATTAATAATACTAAAAATTTTTTGGCTATTATCAAGCCTTCATGACGAAAATTTGTAGATTTATTTGGTTTCAATTAAGATAATGAATACTAAAAAAAGAGAGACATCAAAGCTGCTATTGCAATTAAAATAAATACTGCAATTATAGTTTATGCAATATTTCTTGGATTCATATCTTTTTCAGAGAAAAGATAGAGTAAAGTCTTAAAAATTAGATCCCAACAATTCTCTTAAATAATATAAACAATTCCTTATTATGATAATATTTTATGTAATCCTAAACTAAATTGATTAAGTGTATGTATAAAAAATGCAAAGTGATATGAAACAATAATAGATTTATTATCATAAATAAAGACTCTAATTTTAGTAAACCAAGTTCTGAATATAAATCTTAAATAACAATATGATAATATGAGTAATACTGTTGCTAATAATAATTGAGCAAATAAACCATATAAATTAGTAATTAAATCAGAATTAAGATTATAATTTTAAAATTTACCAAATGCTTATAATTATTATGATCCAATCACATCTTAAAATATATCAAGAATCCAAAATTTTTATAAAATTGGAAGTATAGTAACAACTTCAGAAGATTCAAAGTATATCATTAAGTTTTCTGGAAAATTTATATTGATAAATTTTAGATTGGCTTAATATTATATTGTATCTAGAATTTCAAAACATTCTGCTGGATTACCAGACATCAATATAATCAAACTTGATAAGCCTAGAAATATGAGTATTGTCATATTATAAGAGCAAATTTTATGTGATACCTTCTTTTATTCATCTGTTAATACAATAGGATTTTTAATACGAATTTTGCAAATATCATTATCAACTTAAAATCCATTTTAATCAACTAATACAGTATTTAATTAAACTTATAAAAATATTTCTTTTTTTTATTATTCTAAGATTTAAACTTTTAATTAATAAATGATAGTATGTACACTTAAATTATTAGGTTCTATAATTAATACATTGCTAATAATATAATGAGAAGGATCAACATCAACAAGATAAGCTTTAAAGTTTTAAGTCAAATTTTATGATGAATCTAATAATTTAATTTAATTAGTAAATTATAATTAGAAATATTAGATATTATATGTTGAATTTAAAAATATTAAATTAAAATGAGGAGGTATAATTTAAAAACATGAACTTTTATTGAAATCTTCTTCAAAACATGTCCAATATATTTCAATAATACAAATATCTGAACAACCATCTAAAGACAAGTGATTACCATCATCACATTCTTCTATATCAGATTTAAATCCATTTCCACAAGTATCTTAACAATTATTGTTATTCATAATAAAACCTAAATTACAATTAATACAAAATCCTTAATAACAATTATTACAATTTAAAGGACATGAAAAGAAACATGAATCACATCCATCAAATGAATCATCATTAGCATCATCACATTATTCATTATTAGCAATTATTAAATCACCACAAATAGAAATACATTCATTATTTAAATAATAATACCCTTAATCACAAATATCTAAACAATTTTAATGATCACAAATTTAACAATTTTCTCTACAAGAATATTAACAATCATAACATCCATCATACTTGATATCATTACCATCATCACAAATTTCTAATCCTTCAATAATAATTCCATCTCCACAAATAGGTATACAATTATTATCTTTAATCTCAAAATACTCTTTACAAATTGCACATTAAAGATGACCATAACAAAATATACAATTATATGCACATTCAAATTTACATTCATAACATCCATCTCCACTATCTTAATTTTAATCATCACATTATTCATATGAACCTAATGCAATTTTACCATCTCCACATTCATATACACATTTAAAATCCACTAAATTCCATCCTTATAAACATTAAAAACAAAATGAATTATGACATTCTAAACATTCTAATTGACATTTACTACATACATAATAATTGTCAATAGAATTATCAATCAATACATCTTCTTAATAAATTTCATTATTACAAATAGGAATGCATTAACCATTCAAAGTTCTTTCAAATTTATTCATACAAATTTAACATTCATTCAAAATAGAAATTATACAATTTTATGATTCTCTCTATTCACATCTATTATATTAATAAGCAAAAATGCCATAATTCTAAATCTAACATTAAATATCTACAGCCTCTAATATAAGGTTATTGTTGATAATGACATGATGAAGATATGTATTTGCCTAGAAATTTGAAATTTGACAATAAAAACCTTCTTTCATTTATATATCATATTTAATTAAACTATTCTAATCCTCAAATTAACAAGAAAAATGACATTAATTATCTATCAATTGGTAATTATTGTTGCAGAATATACATAAACCATATTCACATGAAATACAATTTAATGGACAAGAGAATTTACACTAGTAACATCCATCATTAGCTTATTAATTACCATCATCACATTCTTCTTAAAATATAATCTATTAATCTCCACAAATTGGAATACATTATTAAGAATATGTATCGAAATTCCATCCTGAAAAACATTCTACACATATATCTCGAATACAATTACTACATCCTTCAACACAATTATACTATTAAGAAAAAATCCCTTCAAATACAAGGAGATAATCATCTTTATGGATAAGACTCTCATCTATTATTATTCTATTCTCCTAATATGTAAAAACTTCAAAGTCTCTAATACCAAATGAAGCTGGGTTTACAGATGTTGTTGCAACATTATGAATTAAAATAGATATTGTCATAGTTGAAGAACTACTACTAAATCCGATAATATCAATCCTAGTCATTTTTAAATTAGAACCACAAAAATAATTTAAAGTTGATGCACTAATTAAAGGAGGAGCATAATAATATAATTATACATCACCTATCACTTCTAAGGTTACTGAACCAGTGATCTCCACACATATAAATATAAAAGAAAACTTTAACATTGTATGAGGATCATTTAAATTTAAATTTATTGATGCCACTTAAGATGATAAAAAATTACCATAATATTGAAATCCTAGGTTAATTAAGAATTATAATACCACAATCTTATACACTATCATATATGGCATTATCTTTGAGCCATCCCTATCCATTTGTAAATGAAAGAGTTGTAAAATAAGCTAACACCCTATACCATTTTTAACAAATTCCTAGATAATCGCAATAATCACATAAATAAGGACATTTCAATAATGATAACTTAAAATCTGAGATTCCCCAATATGCTGATGTTTATTTAGATACTATTATTATTATAGCTGAGTTTAACATATGGTCAATTTCTTTACTGATTTAATCAATCTATCCAAGAGTTCCACTTCCACAAATCTGTTCACCTGTAACATTATATGGATTATATGAGTGTGCTTATTCTCCATTAAGATAAACGTAATAATATCCAGAAGTCCAAGGATTCAATCTAGGTAACGATATTTAAAAAATACACACCTCCAGAATTTGAATTCAAACTATATCTTATAATGTGGAGGAAGTATAAAGGTCTTTGTTATGACTGTTTATTAAGAAAAGATCAATCGTCCTCCAAATATTTAAGAGGTTACACAATCCGTTATATGGTTTGAATTTTCAGCTAAGTATGCTTTCCAATCTATGTAAATAAAGTAAGAATTACTATCATCTGTACTAAAAGGGGTAAAAAAGGATCGACTTATTTCAGCTTGTGCAAGTACTTCTGAACAAAATTAATTAAGGAAAATGAGATCGATGAAAATTAAGTATATAGACAATTTACAGGATCTCAAAAACGAATTTTATCTACTCATCTATGTCATTTTGTTATTTAAGTTTAATAAATCAAGTTGTAATGATTAAAATGATTATCAATTTTTTAAATTTAGGCATGAAAATATCTTATAAAAAATTTAAACAAAAAATAAATATTCCATTTATTAGGAAATAATTAATTCATTTCTCGAATAAATTAATATAATTATTTATTTAAAGTTACCTAAACTTTTATATTAAATATATTAATAAAATTATTTAAATTTTTTATCCAATCTAGAATATGAGTCATTTATAAATATATCTATAATTCTATATTCTTATCTAATTTTCATTATTGTTTCGTTGATTAACTTGTTCTAACAAATTGCTAAAATGAGGATCAAAGGTTAACTACAAAAATACTAAATCAATTATTTTTTATATTAAATAATATTTATTTTCTTTTTCATCTATCTTTGATTTAATAAGAACAAAGTGTATTTTTTTGTTTGATCTTAGAATTAACTTATAATATCTTTAAATCTGCTGAATTATCATTATTGCTTAGAATTTATAACTTTGTCGTTATTTTTTTTTTAACATGGTATTACAAATTCATTTATTATAGTTTAGAATTTTGAACTAATTTGATAATTTTCTAATCATCCATCTATCAATTGATAAAAATATGATTCTATATTAATCAGATTATGAGACTTTATTTATTTCATTTTTAACCTTAAAAATTATATATTTATATATATATTAATTATTTTAATCAAAATTGTAAGTTAATAAAATAGACAGATGTAATTATTCGTTTGAGAATGTGTTTATTATATATTGTAGAATTATCATACATGAATCTTGTTGTATTTTTGAAATAATTAGTTAATTTGATAATTTACACAACCTAGTATACCTTATCTTTGTTAATTGTATTTTTATTATTATAATTGTTGATGCAATTCGGATTAAATTAAAAATAATATTAGTGGTCATAATTTATTTTTTACTATTATTTCATATGCGCTATAATTTTAAATTAATATTAAATGCTGTTAATGATTAAATAAAAAATTATAAAGAGTTAGAGATAATAATAATAACAATAGACAAATTTTTATATATAAATAATAATTTTTATCATGATTATTTTATTAAAAATTCTAAAGGATCCTTATTAATTTTTAATTATTCCAGATCAATTGAATCTATAGGTTTGATGAATAATCTATTTGTTTCTTTTTCTATTGGTGGTGTTTATAAATAATTTTCTACTTTTTCTCCAAATTAGTGACTAGCTGTTAAAATTTAAATTCCAAATTATTATTAAATAATAAATTATATTCTTGATATTTCATAAATTATGTTATTAAGTCTACATTTTTGTTTGGCTTTCTGAAGTAAATTTTTTTGAAAGGAATTGAAATATTCAATAGATTATTATTATTTTTTGGTATTTTATTCTTAAGAATATTATTTTTTAATGAAATTCTTTAAAGTAATTCCTTTTAAATCTGGATAATACATAGCTATTATATCATGAAGTAATTCATTTTCAAGTGATTGTGTATTATAATATAATGCTACATATTTCAATAAAAATAGTAATTGAACAATTGATCCTATTTATGCTAAAATTTAACCCAATTTAGGCATTGTAACTTCTTCCACAATAGAGATATTATCTATTCTAAATAAATAGCAACCATAATTATCTAAACTTAAAGGAGTCTCAGACATATAAGTAAAAACTCTTGAAGCAAAGGAATTATCAATTTGTTAGTTAATCATTTCATAATTATTTAAAAAATTGTATCGTTAATAATTGTTAAACAAAATACCATCATCAATTATGGTTTCTTATTATTTTAACATTATTTATGAATATATTGGATTTTTAGTATCTAGACTAGTATAATATTACTTTTTTATTATCTCTAATTCTCTTGTCACATAATTTAATTGACTCAATCTTATTGTTAAGAATAAAAACCCATGATATTTTTTTAAATATTCTCTCATAACATTTTCGTCAGCACAGTAACCTCCTTACAATAATGAACTATTTGAACATTAAGTTAGTACAATTAAGTATTACTTCATATCCAAATTATTCTTTTCATTCGTATCAATATTGTTAAGTACTAAGGAACCATTTGACAATGATATTTGATATGGAGACTCTGAAGTGCTAAACAAGGGTATGGATTAGTTGATTATGGTTGAATTTATTATTGTGTACAAAAGTGGAGTAATTATGTTATTAGTTTTCCTAAAAGGATCAATGTCATTGGTGAAATCTTATAAATTTATTTCAATTAAAGGTTCTGAGAATGAGAATTCTGTGTAATTAATTATTTTCTACTTAGAACTTACATTAGGAGAAATCAAATTATTACTCCATTACACAACAATATAAAAAAAGTAAGTTAAACTTATACTTGCTAATAGAATTGAAAGAATTCCTCCGATTTTACTTTGATATTTGTATTCATTTGTCGAAGTTAACAAAGGAATTGGAACACCAAAAATATCTATTTTATCTATTGCACTGAAAATTTTCATCATTATTGAGTATCTGATAAATTAATTATTATTATTAAATCATTTATATTTTTTTTAATTTTAATTACGGATTTCTTTAAATCTATTAAAAAGAAGGAAAAGAGTATATCTACAATCAAAATATAAAATCTCAATTAGAAATTTATTATTAATCAAAAGATAGAATTTTTGAATTCTAAATTCTTAATATATTTTATAAAATATAATTTCTTTATGAATTTGTTAGACAATTTAATAATTCTTATACTACAAATAAATATGAAGATAAACATATCTATATATAATTTAAATATTATTTCATAAACAATAACCGTTTATCCAAAGTTATTATATCTTATAATTAATACTCATATAAATTAACTTTTAAATGAATAAATTTATAAAGTTGTTTTAATTATTATATTAATGCAACCACTAATTCATAATCCGTATTATGAAATACTAACAATTAAAATTATTATAAAACAATAAACCTTTGATATGAAATGATATTTATTAAATTAATATATATAATAATCTATGAAAAAAACAATCTGCCTGATTCTAATTGTATAAAGCATAATGTCATTTCATCTAAAATATATATCAGATCCTAAAGCATTATGCTTAGATGGTTCACCATCTGTAATTAGTTTAAAATATCAAGTCCTTTTATAAAGCTGAAGGATATGGAACTGGAGCGAAAAAGTATATATTACACTTTTAAGGAGGATCGTAAGATTAATATTTATATTTTTAGGAGAATTGGGGGTTAAACCTATGAGTAATTAGTCAAATCAGCATACACTAGGTACACTTAAGAGTTATAATAGATCAAAGACAGACTTAGGAAGTTCAAAGAATTTGAATTAACAAATGTTATATTCTGGATGGTTTGGAAGAACCAAAAATGGAAATGAACATTACTATAACTGGAATATGATTTACTTAAATTATTGTGATGGAACATGTATATCTTCATTAAATATCTTTAGAGCATTAAGGATATAAATCTGATCCTATAGAATACGAGGGTTAAAAACTATATTTTAGAGGTGATCAAATAGTTAAATCATGGTTATCAGAATTATATGATGATTTGTCTAAAGCTGAAATAGTTATAGTCTCTGGATGTTCAGCTGGAGGAATAGCAGCCTATTTCTGGGTTGATTACATAAGATCTAAATTGCCAGCCAGTGTAGTTGTTTATGGAATTCCTGATTCAGGAATTTTTATTGATATGGCAGCTATTGATGGAACAAATAATCCAAGATAATCTCTTGATTTACTAATTGATCTAGTAAATTCTGAAGTATCTCATCCAAACAGTGAATGTGTTAGTAATAATCAGCAATAGAAATGGAAATGCTATTATGCATAATATTTGTTAGAATACATAAAAACTCCTTTGTTTATTGTTTAATCATTATATGATTATTATAGTTTGAGCTAAATGTTTAAAGTTGATTGTGCTAATAATTATAATTTAACATAATGCACTCAAGATTAATTAGATTTTTCATAGATTTTATATTCAAAGACTTATGATGTTATTATGAAAAGAAAGTAAAGTTTTTAAGAAACAGGTGGATTTGCTCCTAGTTGTATAGAACATTGTTTTTTATTAACGTCACGCTATGATTCTGCTGATTGGTAGGTACCAGGAGAATCAGGAAACACACTTTCAAATACAATAAATAAATGGCTAAATTCTAATTAAAAATATGATGATAATATTTACCTTGACAGTGTTGAATGGCCAGAAAATCATAAGTGCTCAAATTCAGAATTGTCAAATTATTCAAATTAATTTTAGATCATCATAATAATACTTATTTCATCAATTATTAGTTGAAAATATATTCTGTATAATTTTCATATATATATTGATATATATTTTCAATTTTTTTTATTAAACTAATAATCCTAATTTAATCAACAATTTCTAAAGATTATTTAATTTTTTTAATAAATGTACAAATAACAAATAACATTGTCACATTGAATGAATTAAAGTAAAGTTAATTATTAATTTTTTAAATTAAAGACAAGAATATATCTATGAGTAGCAAAAATATTAAAATTAATTTATTCAAATTTATAAGTTTTTCCTAATTATTGATATATTTTGCATTATTTTATAATCAAGTTCCTTTTAAATTATATAATTAATTATGTTTTTATTTATATTGATTTTGCTTAAAATTTCTTAAATTCTTGGTGTTGAAGAAATCTACTTGACACCAAATGAATACATATACCTTTAAAAGAAAAGTGTAATATTATAATCCAATGATACTTATTATGATCATACTAATGATGAATCAATTGAAAAATAATAATAATTTACTTAGATCTCAAATACTTTGATTAATATACATCAAACTTATGATATTGATGAAAAAGTAATAGATATTATTACTTTTGTTGATCACAATTAAGATGATTAATATATTTGTCTACTATACTAAAACTAGATTGATTGTAAATTCAAACTGTCTAATATGCTTATTAATAATAATTTAGTAATCTAATAAGGATTTTTTACTTAAGTTCCAACTATTTTTCTCTAATGTTTAAAAGTATTTAATTTACTCTAAAATATATACATTATTTAATGTTAAAATGAATTTGGGTTAACATTCAAATTACTAAATTAAAATAATAAATTACTTGATACATTAATAATTAGATCTAAATATATGAAATAATAATAAAGCATTCAAGATGTAGATTAATTAATAATATTTGAAATAAATCAATAAGTTTGTTAATTCTCTATTATCAGAATTAATATAGAAAAATATCATTTTCTACTCTCTTAATTCACTCTTGATTTAACACAAAATTATAGTTAATCTGGTGTAATCAATAATCTAGATATTAAATAACATAATTAAATTTATGTATTTTTCCAATATCTTATAATTAAAATAGATTTAAGTAGTTTTGAAATATTTTATATTAGTGAAATTCGAATAGGTTCAATAGAATATTATAATATATTGACTTTTAATGGAAACTCTTATTATTTGATGTTGGATACCACATAATCAAAAACTATAACCTTTTTTTCAAATATTTTTTACTATAACTTATCAAAAGGTAAAATAATAAAATGTTAAATTATCAATTAAAATTTGGTTCTAATCTTTACTAATTTCATACTCATATTTAATAATGAATACATTCATTTAGAATTTTATTAAAACTACAAATCCATTAATTTCTTAATAGGATTACCCTTTATAATTATCTTAACTTAAGAAAACCATCTAAATCTTTTATCAATAAATGATTTACCGAATTATATTCAATATTCTAATTCATAATGCTTATCAATTTATTAATTTGATTTTTTTTTCAAATTTAGTTAAGTTATATAATACAAAGTTAATTTGTATTCTTTTTAACATCCATAGTTGTTAACTACAAAAGTACAAAATGTAGCTTATGTTTTATAAGATAAAATGTTCTAGTACTCTTATAATTCTATAGGTTTACCGTTTTCAATATCATTACAAAATAATAATCAAATAATAAAATCACTTAATAATTCTATCACATTTGAAAATTCATAAGTTAATCAAAAAATGATTATCTTTAACACTTCATAAAAAACAAAATATTTACTTTTGATATTTGGTAATCATAATGTTATTACTATTTTCGATTAGGCAAAGGGGCTTTAAAATAATTAAAAAATCTCTTTCTTTTCAAATAATTCAAAAATATTTTCAAGTATTTCTAAATAAAATTTTGTCATTGTAAATAATTAAACAATGATTGGATTTAAATATTAAGAATAATTAAAAGAAAGTTGGTTATTTAGAGTAAGTTCAAAAGTTATTGATATCTTGTAAATTGGAGATAGTCTAGCAATCTAATTAGAATAATGTAAAGAAATTAATATTGATTTAAACAATATGATTTATTAGTAAATAAACTATTCATCTCAATAAAACTGTACATGTTCGATAGATAATAAGTTTTTTATTGCAATTTTCAAGAATGAAATAAAAATTGAAAGCGCCACATCATTGAAATTAACTTATACATTCAATACTTTACTCTAACACATCTATTTTGTAGATATTGAATATTTGATTCTCTTTGAATTATAAGGAACATAAATTATCGCAAAGCTGTATAATCTTTCATCATAAAAATTAAACTTTCTTTATAATTTACCTTTTTATGATTATGAAATTATTCAACCAATATCATATAAAGTAGCTAAAACTTATTTAGCAATAATTGTTATAAATTAATAAAGTTAATATTTTTTAATGGTGTACAATATCAAATAAATAGCAACTAATTGCTTGATTAAAGTTATTGAAATAGATCCAAATTATCATTAATTTAATTTTATTGATGAATCTTAAATCTATATTTAATTTAGAAATTAAATTACAGTTTATTTTTTATAATGGGTCTTCTTACATTTATCTAATTTTTAATTTGATTCAAATACCTATTTCTACAAGTAATTTGTTGTACTTTAAAAAAAATCTGATTTTTTTTTGCAAATCTAAAATATTACAGTTTAATTGATAGCTATTAATACCAATTATCAATTACAAGTAAAAAATTAATCAATTCCAGTATATTATTCTATTAAATAACAAAATAAGGAAATTATATTAGATAATGTTTTTGGTAATATAGATCAAATAGAGTACAAAAATAAAAATGGATAGACAATAAAATTAAATCCAATAATTATAGTAGATCAATATTCTTGTTTATATCCATTCTATAATTAAATTTGCATATAATAAAGTGAACAAATAGTCTTGAATTACTTTGATAAACAAAATTAAGTAGTTATTAATTTGTCAGAAATAACATTGTCATAATATTAGTTTTTTAGAAAAGTTAATGATAATTATGAATTATTTTTGGTTTTTTCAAATTCAGAGGGGAGAAAGTATGTAATTAATCAGTTTGGGTAGATTTTAAATAATAAAACAATAAGTATTCTATAAGTATTTCCAGACTTACTACTATCTGATACATCTTTAACTGTTGTTGGAAATATTGGAATACTTAAATCTAATGTTAGCACTTCATTGATTTTTTTAATTTTAGAAAATTCTTTATAATTATTTTACGAACTTGGGGAGAGTAATGAAGTAAATGGCCATTGTACTATTAAGATATTATACTAAAAAGATAGTTATATAATATTGTATTCTCGTAAATTTTAAATGGAAACATTTACAGTTTATATTCTGAACAATTAGTTTTATACAATTAAAAAAATTGAAATTTCATTAAAATATCTAATTCCAGAATATGATGTTAAAATTTTATCTTGTCTTATTCAAATAGAAATTATCGAGTATGTATTTTAAGATTTTATTTTTGAAGCAGATTTAATACTTTGTTTTGAATATCTTTTATGCTAAAGGATGCATCTTCAAATTAACTTTAATAATGAAAAATTAGAATTCTAAGCTACTTCTACAATTAGATATCCAAATCTTGATTATAAAATCAAAGAGGTAAAATTATTAAGTTACAAGTATTTAATAATTCAATATTAAGGTTCACAAATAATTTCCTATTTTTATAATTTGAATAATAAAGATGCAAAAATTCTAGATAGTTTTTATTAATATATATAGAATGTGGAATTTCAATAATATGACTAATCATAATAAATTGAAATAACAAAAAAGGAAAATTTTGCGGAATTAAAATTAATTAATATTTAAGCTTACACTATTTTATGTCAATAATAATGCTTATAAGGTTCTGAGGATATTCTAATTAGTAATCAAGTATCAAATTTATAAATTACTTTAAATCCTAAAATCAAAGAGGAAGAAACTATAAAACTTAAATCTTTACTGATNTTATCAATTACAAGTAAAAAATTAATCAATTCCAGTATATTATTCTATTAAATAACAAAATAAGGAAATTATATTAGATAATGTTTTTGGTAATATAGATCAAATAGAGTACAAAAATAAAAATGGATAGACAATAAAATTAAATCCAATAATTATAGTAGATCAATATTCTTGTTTATATCCATTCTATAATTAAATTTGCATATAATAAAGTGAACAAATAGTCTTGAATTACTTTGATAAACAAAATTAAGTAGTTATTAATTTGTCAGAAATAACATTGTCATAATATTAGTTTTTTAGAAAAGTTAATGATAATTATGAATTATTTTTGGTTTTTTCAAATTCAGAGGGGAGAAAGTATGTAATTAATCAGTTTGGGTAGATTTTAAATAATAAAACAATAAGTATTCTATAAGTATTTCCAGACTTACTACTATCTGATACATCTTTAACTGTTGTTGGAAATATTGGAATACTTAAATCTAATGTTAGCACTTCATTGATTTTTTTAATTTTAGAAAATTCTTTATAATTATTTTACGAACTTGGGGAGAGTAATGAAGTAAATGGCCATTGTACTATTAAGATATTATACTAAAAAGATAGTTATATAATATTGTATTCTCGTAAATTTTAAATGGAAACATTTACAGTTTATATTCTGAACAATTAGTTTTATACAATTAAAAAAATTGAAATTTCATTAAAATATCTAATTCCAGAATATGATGTTAAAATTTTATCTTGTCTTATTCAAATAGAAATTATCGAGTATGTATTTTAAGATTTTATTTTTGAAGCAGATTTAATACTTTGTTTTGAATATCTTTTATGCTAAAGGATGCATCTTCAAATTAACTTTAATAATGAAAAATTAGAATTCTAAGCTACTTCTACAATTAGATATCCAAATCTTGATTATAAAATCAAAGAGGTAAAATTATTAAGTTACAAGTATTTAATAATTCAATATTAAGGTTCACAAATAATTTCCTATTTTTATAATTTGAATAATAAAGATGCAAAAATTCTAGATAGTTTTTATTAATATATATAGAATGTGGAATTTCAATAATATGACTAATCATAATAAATTGAAATAACAAAAAAGGAAAATTTTGCGGAATTAAAATTAATTAATATTTAAGCTTACACTATTTTATGTCAATAATAATGCTTATAAGGTTCTGAGGATATTCTAATTAGTAATCAAGTATCAAATTTATAAATTACTTTAAATCCTAAAATCAAAGAGGAAGAAACTATAAAACTTAAATCTTTACTGATTGTTTTGAATTTTATAATTCTTATAATGTATTTAAAAATTAGAATTAATAAGAAAGCCTCCAGAAACTGATATAATATATGATATAATTTGAATTTGAATACATGAAATACAAATAATATTTATTAATTTATTTTATATAAGAAAATTATAAAATAATTATTATCCTACATATAAGGTATTATTGATTAGGTTGTGAGATTTAAATTTAAGTTAAATTCCAAATTATCTAAAATTATTTTGGATAAAAAATTTCAAATGTAATTTCTTTGAATTCTGATCTTATTTTAATATTGTATTTTTCTATTTTAAAATGTGATAACCTATGAATAATTGTCCTTTCATTTGAAATTTAATGTAGTAATTAAGTCAAATATAAAAATCACTATAAACTTAACTGATGAATATAATTGATTTAAATAGGAGAAATATGTAATCAAAAATAGATCAAATTTATTTTAATAGTCATATAAATATTATATTTACAAAATTATTGAAATAGTTTTCAAAATATTTAAATTTTTATAGTAAAAATTTTTACAAAAATGTTTAAATAAATTAAAATGAAATAATCAATACTTAATAAAATTAATAAATTAAGATAATTAAAAACATCATTTTGGATATATTAAAAGGTTCAATTAAATTTAATAATTATAATAAAATATTATATGAAAAGTAATATTAGGGGGAAAAAGAGATAATTGTTCCACTTGAAAAGAATTCTTGATCAATTTTTTATTAAATTAATTATCTAGCTATGAATTGAATTATATTTAATATATGACAAGATTTTATTTTTAAAATGCCTTATAAAAATAGGAAAGAAATAGATGTAAATATTTAGGAATTTATTTTTGAAGTTAGGTTGAAAATTACTTATTCTTTGATTAGAATAATTATTGTACAACAATATTAATAAAATAATATCACTCTTACTTTTTGTTTTATTATTTATATATAATTTACAATAAATTTAATAAAATAAAAAGTACTCTTACTTATTTATTAATTTAAAAAATTTTAATAAAATTTATTTATAATTTAATATAAATTTAATAAAATAAAGTATTCTTACTTATTGTTTAATATTTATTTATAATTTATATTAATTTTAATTTAATAATGACTTTTTTTTCTTGATTATTATATTATAAAGATTTAATAAAATTAATTCATAATTTTCTATACTTTTAATGAAATAATTTACTCTTACTTATTGTATTATTAATTTATAAACATTTATTAAAATTTATTTATATATTGTACAACAATTTAAATAAAATAAAATTACTCTTACATATTTTAATATTAATTTATGAAATTAATTAAATTTTATATATATATTAAGATGTTTTAATATAATTAATTACCTAACTTATTGTTATATAATTTTATAACTTTTATTATTTTGTTGTTAAATCATTTTTTCTAAATTATAATATTATTTTAAAAGATCAAATATTAAAATTAATACAATTAATTATTCTCATAAAATATTTAATTATTTATATTTTTTCTAAAGATTTATTAATTATTTTACAATCAAAAAGCATCAAAATCTGTATTAATGGGAATCACGAACACTGACTCTTTAAATTTTCTAATCTTATTAAGAAGATTTAATAAATTCTCTCTTAACATATACTGGCAAAAAATGCTCAGGTGTAGCTATTTTTTCCTGATTACTATTACTTGAAACAAACTTATTGAAAAAATTTTTTCTTAGCTCTAATTAATGGTAGTAATCAACAAATGTTATTTTTTTGGACCTGGTAGAGAATATAAAGTTAATCCTATTAATCCTTAGTAAATATTTCAAATATATTTCTTATTCAAATATCATCTCTTCTCATGCTTTATTGCTTATAATATTAAACTTTTAATTATATTCTATTATTATTCTTAAAATATCAAATATTTTTTCGTTTTAATCCACTCCTAACTTACGTACCTCAACAAAACTTTTTAAATCGAAGATCATGATACATATACTTCGTTTCAATCTCCAATTATAGAAGAAACAATATTAACATAATTATTTTTCTTCTTAATTAAAAAATAGAAATAATAAAATTAAAAAATTGTTTCTAAAGAAATCAAATTTTTTTAGCAACTATCAGCTATTTTTGATTTGTGAAAAGATTTATCAAGATTAATTGTCTTAGATTGTTATTTTGAATAATCATTTGCTACCTAAGGAATATTTAGAAAAATCAGATAATCAATTTTTTTAAGATTAGTAAGTGGTAATTAATTTTTTAGCAACTTAGAATAGATTAAATAAGTTAATTATTATTTCAAAAAATGATACTCTCTAACAAACTTAAGATGTAGCACCTTATATTACTTTAGTCAATGAATATTTTGAAGTGACATCCTCCAATTATAAGAAATAAATAAAGACTACTTTATTTTAATTCATACTGTAATAAACTTAGAGATTTTTAACTTTCTTCTCTCTAAAGAGTGAAGGAGGTTAAATTAAAATCGATACAATTTATGCATGAAGAAAATTCCAAACATTATGATGAGACAATATATAATGCTATGAGATTTTCAATTAATTGAAATATAGATTTAAGAGAATAAGCCATGATATTTTATTCATATACCGTTTGTTTGAAATTGAAATTGACATTAACAATATTTTTCATTTGCTATTTGATAGTATTACTTCTGGAACTTTCAAACTAAATTAATATAGAAATAGTAAATTCAGAGTAAAACTTTAATTAGTAAGTATTGTAGTATATAAAATTAAAATTGAATGAGTAATCATTTATTGTTAAAGAAAACAATAAATTAGAGATCTATAATTTTTGTTGGATTAATTAAAAAGTGTTTTAATTAAGCACGAAATAAAATAAGGATTATTTTTTTTTTGAATATTTTATCAATATCCTTTTGCATTTGATCTTCTTCCAAATGAAAAAAAATCTAGTTCTTTACTTTTCCTAAATTACCAAAAAAATGACTTTATTTTTCCTATACCAAATTTCTTCATATGAGCCAATCTCTGTGATTTAATAATGAAATCATGGCAAGGTTTTGGATTTTTTAAACTCTAGACAATTTATCCCTTATTTAGAATGTGATTAATTAAATATTTTAATTAATTCATCTTTTTGTTTAAATTACTTAATCAGCTTAAGTAGCTCACAAAAATTGATTTCTCTACTTTAAGAAACATAGAAGCAATTGTTGAAAAATTTAACTACACCAATGATTTCCTTTAGTTTATGAAAAGTTGAAACTATATTCTAACAAAATAATGAATATCAAAAAATCTCATCATTGCAAAGCCAAATAAAAAATTATTATTATTTTATATGGAAGTAAGAATTTATTAATTGTTGATTGAGCAATAATAATTATAATATTAAAAAATAATCTAAAAGGAAAATTTTATTTATTCTTTTTAAAGAGAAAATTTTTCTTCAATTATAATTATTATTTTCTTTTATTCTATTATATTTTATTATATTTAATATATAAACATTAATATTATAAATCCTAAATTGTTAGAGAAATTAAGATGCATTTTGAAGTTGTTTATTCACTAAGATTATTTTGCTCCACACATATAAAATATATTTCTATTGGATTTAATTTTAAAAACGTCGCACTTCTTTATTATTAAATTACAAGATGTTATACTCTAATAAGGTTTCGTAAATTTAAAACATTTGACAATAAATTACACTTAAATATACTGTAAATGATATTTTTTTTTTTAATGAAACTATGATTATTCTTCATACAAAGAAATTTTAATTTTTGCGTATTTTATCAATCATCTTTTTCACCTAATAATTATTTAGAAAAATAGGATTAAACCTCTAAACTCGATTTTATAATGTCTAATTTTGAATAAAGATTAAGAATAAAAAATGAAAAACTCATAAGAATCGAATTAATATAATAAAAATATAATGTAATTTATTGATGAAGATAGTGATGTCTAATAGATTTGCATTCAAAATTTATAATGCCTCGATTAATTTTGTTAGAAAAGTCACCCTAGAGCCTTTGCTGGGATATGCATTGGGTTTATTTAAGGTTTTTGTTAAAATCAAGAAATATGCGGGTTACATCATTTTAGTATTGAATAATTAAGAGACAAAATTCAATAACACCCAATTAATGGAATCAGATAATATAATTTATGCCCCAACAATTGTGATAACATAAAATGTAGATTTTTACATCCACCTTGGCTAAAATAAGTTTGTTTATAATGTTTAAATAAAAAAAAGCAATGCTAAGCGGAGCCAAACTTAATTCATAAAATTACTTGGGATAAATTAAGAGATATTGTATATAAAGAGTATTCTATTTCTGGATTAAATCCAGAAATATTTTGTGATGAGAATATTTGCGATTGTCCTGCAAAAAAATTCAATATAGATAAATTTTGTATTAAGAATTTTAAAGGTTGTTGTCCAATGTTGGACGATAGATGTATAAAACCACATAGAGCTTGGGAAAGTTTTAAATTTAATTCGATCTTTTAAGAATAATAAAATGCCATTGTAGCAAAAGGCTGTATAAAATTTGATGAAAGGCAAAAAAGCTTTATTAAATAATAATAAAAGCCACCTTAATTGTAAATATTTATAGAACAAAGTTCTCTCTTTTCAATGGTTAACTAAATTGAACTTAGACCTTAAGTGGATATTATATTTATTATTGATTGTACAATAAGCATGGAAAATTGGTTAGTTGCAGCTAAATAAAATATTAAATTAATAATTAAAGAATTTACAAAGAAGATTTCAGTTTCATCTTGTGTAAGAATAGCTGCTGTTTGTTATCGAGACTTTAGTGATGGACCTAATCATATCTAATATCATGATTTCACTGTCTAGCCAGAGGAAATAGAAAGGTTTATTGATAAATTTTAACCTTAAGGAGGGGATGATATACCTGAAGATTTAATTGGAGCTTTAGATGTTGCATACAATTTAAACATATCAAAACATCCTGATAGTATTTTATAGATATTCACTATAACTGATGCACCTTGTCATGGTAGTAAATATCATAATGTATTGTTTGATGATAAGAAAGAATAGAGTAATTTAGAGGAGAAAATAGAAAAATTTGTAAAGAGAAAGAGCCGATTTTTTTTTTCTTTTATTTCAATAAGGGAATAGACAGAAAAAATGGAAAAAATTTTGAGATAATGTATTCCTAATTATTAAAGTGCAAAAATTACAGAAACAAAATTTTCAGATTATGTTTTATTTTCTTTATCTGCTACAATGAATAAAGCTACTAAAATAGAAGATGATAATAATTTTTTATATAGAGAATCTAAATATAAAAAATAAAAACAAATGAATTTTATTTTTGAATCAAGGGGTGGCTCATACTTGAGTTAATTTAGAAAACAAATGAAATAGACAAAGATCAAAAAAAAAAAAACTTTGTTGTAAATTGAAAAAGCTGAACTTAATCTCTAAAATCATGAAAAAGGATAAAACGTTTTGGTGTTTAAAGCATTTGATCAAAAAAATAATGTTTATGTTGTATTGAAGATTCCTAAGTTTATCATTTAACAGTTTAAAAAAACTTAACTTATTTCTGAAGAATTATAAATTAAAGCAAAAAATTATGCTAAAAACAGATATTAATAATAACTTATTGCTAAATAATTATCTCATCATTTTAATTAATAATGTCATTAATCTTAGGGAAAATTTGTCCCTATTTTTTATTCCACACCATATATTTATTCTTTTGATATACCAATATTTGGAATTAAGTTCGTTTATGGAGAAAGTTACATTGATTTGGACATTCCTTGGGTGAAATATAGTAATAATGCTGATTTCTTTGAGAAAGAATATAATTTTACTACCTTTTCCCATTTTACATATGTTAAAACAAATTAAAGTCTCATTATTACTGATTTATAAGGTAAGTTAAATTTATTTAGTGATCCATGTATCCATTCTAAAGAATTAGAAGATGAAGGAAACTGCCAAGAAATAGGATGCAATAATTTTTTCTAATTTCAGCATTAAAATTGTACTTCTTTATGTATAAGCCTTAAATTGCCCAAAAATCAACTTCAATAAGATGCATAATAAAAAGGGGAATAGGAGTATATAGTTGATGTATTTGGAGGTAAAATTGATAGAAGCAAACTTGAAAAAATTTGTGCAAATTGTAATACTCAAGAAAAATTATTAAACTTAAATGATTATTCAGAAATATGCAGGGCATGCAACGAAAAATAACATTAGTAAGAAGATTGTTTATGTGAATGTTGTAAAGAAAAATTTTAAATTTCTACTAATTATGAATAATTATTAGAAACTGCAGTATATTTATGCCAAAGTTGTAAAAAAAGTGATTGTAAAAACTTTTAAGAGAGATGTCATTATTGTTAAACTGGAATTTGTAAGCAAACTATCAAAACAATTTAAGTTTTAAACAAAACTTATTACTTATGCTTAGATGCATTTCATTACTTGAGATAGATTAGATGCAAACTTTGTTCTCAAGAATATAAATTTTAGAACTTGTTGACAAATGATGAGTACTGTGAAAATAATTACACTTGTAATTCTTGTGTCTCATAGAAGAATAATTGAAAACTATATATGAACTAATTAATAATCAAAAACATTACATTGATTTATAATATATATTCTATTATACAAAAATGTGAAATTTTTTATTTATTTGGATAAATACATTAAATCTTAATAATATTAAAAACATTTAAGTTTTCATTTTATTGAATTCTATAAATTTTACTTCAATATTTTTATATAATATATTATTTATGAATAAAAAAAATAGAAATCGATCAAAAGCTTTGAATTCTAAGGAGATAGACCCTAAAATTCTTAATTTAAGGGATAAAATCTTGAAATAGACATAACTTTAAATAGAGGATTAATAATTTGTATAAAATTTAATAAAGGATTATGAAATGAAATCGTCTAATTTAAACTTAAATGATTTTTTTGATGGTTGCATTTGGAAAGTGATTTTTATATGTAAATTCTCAAACTATTTTTCAAAGAATAATTCATTTCAAAAATAAGAGACTTAAAGTAATATTATAATGAAATTTTCTTTTAAATTTGGTAATTGTCAAATGGTGTATTTTATAAATAAGATAGTATATTAACTAAATGGTATTTTTTATAATAAATGCAAATGTATTAAGTATTTTTTACTAGTTCAAATAAAGAAAAATAAATAATTCTTTTGTTTGAATGTGCAGTAATCAGAAAACCAAAATTAGATGATTAATAAGTAAAATTAAATATATTCTAGTTTTAATACTTTTAGTTTATTCACACAATTACATTTATAGACGTATTTGTGAAAACTTAGATTAAGGATTAAATAATTAATAACATATTACAAGAGTTTTAAGAATAAAATGCACAAGATCCAAGAAAATAATTTCCAATAAATTTAAAGGAAAGTTAAGTTAATGGATAATTTGATAAGAGTGGAAAATCTCTTAATATTTATCAATTATTTTTAAGGAACGAAGATTAGAATTGGAGTGTATTCCAATTTTAAAATCACTATTAAAAATAGTGTTATTGGTATCCAAACATATTTGATGATATAAAAATAAAAAACATTCAGAATTTAGTGTAAATTGATGATCTATATCTTTGTTTTGAAGAGCAGTAATCTATAAAATAAAGAGAATTAAAATAGTAGAGGATTGAAAATGAATAAATAAATTTGGAATCATTATAAACTAGATCTTCACTATCACAAATATTGGAGATAGTTTATTAAATTTCTGAGTAAAAGCCATTAATAACAACAACTGACTAAGAATTATAAGTAATTGATACTAATTAAAATGCTTTAGTAATTGGAAGAAGTGGAACAGGTAAAACAACATGTACAATCTTAAAAATATTATCATAATAATTATTATTTGATATTTCTTAAGAATATAATTTATAATAAGAAACCAAATATAATATTGTATTTACTACATCAAATTCTTTATTAGTGAATGAAATGAGAAAGTATTTTAAGAAATTAATAACTGTTGGGAATTCAAAGTCATTTTACAATAATTTAGATGATTTAAAGAGAAATGAAATAAATTAAATAAGGATTTTATTATAAAAGATGAATAAAAGGTTTAGTAATTGGTCAATAGATGATAAATAAAGTTTTCTAAATACAAAAGATAATGATTTTCCTGCATTCTTACCAATAAATTAGTTTTTGTTGTTAATTGATAAATCTTTAAAAAATCCATTTTTTTAATAAATAAAAATAAATAAAAGAAAAATCGATAATGCAGGATGGCATGACAATGAAGGTGTATTTAATTAAAATATTCTTAATTAAAATGAAAATTACAAATTAAATTAATTTAAAACAGATTTAGTTTGTTAATAATAATTTTAATTATATGAAGTTGATTATGAATACTTTTGTCATTCATTTTGGATGACAGTAAGAAAAAATAATTTTAATTTAGAAGAAGAAATATCTTTTTGTAATTTTGTATGGTGTTAGATTTATTCAATAATCAAAGGATCTTAATTTAGTCATACATATCCTAATAGATATTTACCTGAATAAGTATACTTAAATTATTAATAATAATAATCAATTGATTAATAAACATTACAAAAAATTTATTCTTATTTTATGTTATATGAAAAATGGAAAAACTAACAAGGATATTTTGATTAGATGGATCTAGTAAATTATATAATTTAAAAAATAAAAATAAATGAATATTAAGGTGTTAGTTTACATTTCTTATTTGTTGATGAAGTATAAGATTTTACTTAAGCAACTTTATATTTATTTAATTTGTTAGCAGAATAAAGAATAATGTTATCAGGTGATACAGCTTAAAATATAGTAAAAGGTGTTGGATTTAGATTTTAGGATTTAAAATAACAATTTTTTGGAATGAAAGATTTTCAAACATATTCATTAACAATTAATTTTAGATCTCATAATGATATATTATAGTTAGCTAATAATGTAATATCAATTATTGAAATTCTATATCCAAAAACAATAGATTGTTTAAAAAAAGAATAATCTGCAGATTCAGGACCTAAACCTACAATTATTTCATCAAAAGATATAAATTCAATTCTTTATTTAATGTAAGGTTAAGATGATGGAAAAATAGAATTTGGATGTTATCAAGCAGTCTTAGCAAAAAATAATAAGGATATTCCTGATATCTTAAAACATCTAATAGTATTAAATATCTAAGAATGTAAAGGATTAGAATTTGATGATGTTATTATTTATAATTTCTTTAATGATGATTCTATACCTTAAAATTAATGGGAATTATTAAAATGTTTAACAATTGAGTAAATTGATCAAGAAAATAAACTTAGACCAAAACCTAATTTATAAGCATTTGATATTAAGACTTATTCAATTTTATGTAGTGAATTAAAATATTTATATGTTGCTATTACTCGTGCTAGAAAAAGGATATTTTTTTATGATTAGAATCCTAATTCAAGAAAATACATAGAAAAAATCTGGACTGATTTAAAATTAGTGAATGTTCTTAAATTTGAAGAAAATAGTGAAAAATTAAATAAATTTGAATAAGTCATTATTATTAAAAATTCTGAAAAAGAATGGAATGATTAAGGAATCAAAATGTTTTAATTAAAATTTTATGAATAAGCTGCAAAATGTTTTAAGTATTCAAAGAATTAATCTATGGAATATTAGGCTGTAGCATTTTATTTAGCATCATAAGCTTAATAAGGATTATTTAAATTGGAAACAGAATCAAGTAGTACTACTCATACTAAAAAGAATAACTCTTTTCATAGTAAAGAATACTATTTTGAGCTATTTTAGCAAGCTGGTGAGAAATTCATATTTGCATCTTAATTAGAATAAGGAGCAGCTTGTTATTTTTCTGGAAGAAAATATGATCTAGCTTTAAAATATTACTTATAATCTTAATCATGGAAATCAGCAATAACAGCAATCGAAAATTTATCTAATTAATAAATTTTAACAGGAATTCTTCATTGGAAATGTAAAAATTATGAACGATGTTTAAATTGTTTTGAATCTTTTGGTAATCCAATTTTATTTATTTCTATTCTTAGTTTTTTAAAATAATAAATTAATCAACGATTATTTTAATCAAAATTTCATATCTGGTTTCCATTATTAATTTAAAAACTTTAAAAACTGAAACCTTAAGATTTACAATTAGATTTATCACTTTTAAAAGATAATGTTCCAGATTATATTTAATAATTTAAGGGTATTCTTCATATCTTATATAATTCTGTAAAATTAGATATCTGTTATAAAGAATAATTATTAGATTAAATATTTAATTTTGTTTATCTCTTTTAAGATGAAATCCTAATATTAATGACTAAAATACACATTAATTATAATATAGAAGTATCAAAGCAAATAATGAAATATGAAAATTAAACATCCTAATTTTTAATCAAATTAAAAATATAATTATTATAGGATATATTCACTTATTACAAATTAGATTAATGTTTAATATTATTATATGAATGTTATAATATTAAAGATTAAACAAAAAGATTTATTGGAATGTTCTTCTAAGAATCTAATATAATTAATAATGGAAATAAACTTTAAATATCTAGAGATCCAACCATAACAATATTTCAAAACGTTCCTTGCAATTGGACAACAAAGAATTACCTTTAACCAACCTTTTAATTATGTTAATTAGGATTTTATTAATCAGGTCTTCATTTAGTGTAAAGAATATTATCTTAAAATAATTTAACAGAATAATAATTCAAATATTGTATGGAAGATTAAGCAGAGATAAATTATTTATTCTTCCAAACAAATTCACTAATAGGTTTTGACAATATAATTTCTCAATTAGATATCTATTTTTAATAAGAAAAGAGTTTAGGAGGATAAATAAATAATATTGATGGATTCTCTTTGATTGAATCAATAAGAAATAAAATTGAATGTAATCAACAGTTGTAAGAAGATGAAATTTAATTCCTATTTTTAAATATTAATCCTTTAGATTTATAATAATAAGTTAATCCAATTCTTTAAAATAAATAACTAATAGCTGGCATTATTCTCTTAAAAATAATTGTAGAAATAGAAAAGAATTAAAATCATGTTATATATTAATAATTAAATTCTTTAAATCATTTTGAATATTAACATTTCATACGATTTATTTTAGTTTGTATAGAACTCTGCAAATATAATTAAGACTTACATTCTTAAATTATTTGTTTGTATTCTATTTAATGTGTATTTTCTATAAGAATAGCTTCAAAATTGACATTAAATCAATTATCTTAATCAGTTGTCTTTATTCATAAGAATTCATTATTATTTAAGTTTAACTTAGTTAATTAAAATGTATGTAAATTAATAGATAATTAAAAATAAGTTTATCAATTAAATTCAAAGGAAGTATTAAATTCTATTTCTCAATATCTCAAAGGATTTCTATTGAATTATAGTAGAAAATACTTTTACAGAGAATAACAAAACATTTCCAAAGCTCCATTTTTAATTTAACATTTTACTTATTTAAGAGTAAAATAAAAAGGAAATTAAAATTTTCCTGAAGGAATAAAAAAGTTTTAATTATTTTAAGAAGTCTATTATGACTTTTATTTAGAAAAATGTGTAAAATTATAAATAATTGATTCATTATTTACAATAATCTCTTAATGTGCAGAACCAAAATTAATACTAACTAAATAAATGTTAGCAGAATTATCAACATATTACTTTTTTAAAGGGTTATAAGAAACAGAAATATAATAAATGCATAATTATATAATGATTGGCATATGCATACAAAATATATCCCATGAATAACGTTTATCTATAAGGTTTATTGAACATTTAAAATCAGTTCAAACATAATCCTTTTTCGATAATTATATTCATTATATCAATTATTTATAAATTACAAACTATTGTTTATCTTTAGATGCTTGTAATGATTATTTTAAGTTTCATGATTTATAAAAGGAATATTTATAGCCATAGTAAATTTTAAAAGATTTATCATTGATAACTTTGATTTTAACATTCTATAATGCTAATTAAAATAATGTTAATACTGTTTTAGTAACAGAATCATCATTAAAATTTCTATAACATAACTTAACTTCTGAGAATTATTATTAAATTTAAATTTAAGAATAAAATTCTTTAGAGGATTTGAATAGTAAAATCTAAAAGGAATTAGTCGAAAAGATATTTGAATAAATAAAAAAGTAATTAGACTAAAGAACTTATTCTATTTATTTAAGACTTTTATCATCTATTATTTTAAATGTAGTATCACTTTGGGATGGTTTAAGTGAGAGATTATTTGAAATGGCAGAAGAACTAGAATATGAAAGTTAGGATTAAGATTTTTAGATCTTAGCTGAATTAGTTTTAAAACCAATAGATGAAAGAAGAAATTACTTATCACCATTTAAAAAGCTTTGTTATATTCATTTTAAATGTACAAATATTACTGGGAAATAGATTGAGGATTATTTAGATACGAAATTCAAAAAAAGATTTTTAGAATCAAGATTTTTAGATAAAATGAATTTCTAATATTAAGAACATTTTAAAAATAAATTCTAAAATCTCTATATTGGATTAAGATTGATACTTTTTAGACCATTAAGTTTTAAAAATGGTTAGATTGTAGAATAGTAAATAGAGGAAAAAGTGATTGGTTAATTATATGAGAAAATAGATTTGATACGAAAGTATAATTATATATTGGCATAGTTTTTAGGATGTTACTTGAAACTTTATACTCAAAACTTATTGACAATTGTGCCCATTTTACAGCCATAACTGATGAATTAAAATTGTTGAGTAATTTAGAATAGGAAGTCGATTATTTTATATCTAAGAATGAACGATAAGTAAATAGGAAAGTAATAGAACCCTCTTAATTATTGAAAGAATTAGGATAAATATAAGAACAAATAGAGAAATGGAAATTATTGAATTAAGATTTGAATGAAAATCTAAATCTTATGGAATATTCATTTTAAAAGTAAAAAGAAGAAGAATAAGAAGCATATGAATTATTATAAAAAAGAATCAGTCAAATTTTAAAATGAATTATATGTATCTATATTAGAATAGTTAATAATAAATATATGAACTAATTCTAAAATCTATATATATATTTATAGATACAAGATATGATGGATTATTAATTTCTTTAGAAATAAATAAGTGTATTCTTTGATGTAATACTAATAATATAGCATGGCTGAAACAATTCGGCATAGAGATTCGGTATTTAATGATGGTCAAAGTCTTTGGTGTTATAATTTGTAGAATCTATTTAAGTAAAAAAACTAAAGAACTTTTTTTGTAAAAACATTAAATAAATCAAAAACCAAAAACTTATCATTAGGGGATTCTCATATATAGTATTCATAGCATGTATTAATTCAATGAAATATTAGAAATACATAAGTCTAGTCAATTCCTTTCTAAAAATATTATTTAAACATAATGAAGTAGTTGGATTTGTTTTGGAAAAGAATGATCACACAATTGAAATCTATGGAGATACTTAAGAATGGATAGATTAATTTAAAAATTTAACCATATAATTAGATTTCACATCTACTTATAAAATTGTTAAGAAAATTGGACAAGGAATAGCAGCATAAGTATATTAAGCTACTAATAAAACAAATAAACTAAATTTTGCTGCCAAGATATTTGAAAAAAAGAGAATTTTATTGGAAGAAACAGAAATTATAGCTATTAATAAAGAATTGTAGTATTTAAGATTATTATAACATCCAAATATAATTAGACTTTATGAAGTATTTGAAAACAAACAACATATCATTTTTATAACAGATTTATATTAAGGAGGGGAACTTCATCATTCTTTGAGTAGATATGGTTTAGAAGAAAATCAAGTAGCTGAAGTAATAAAACCAATCATAACAGCAATTAGTTTTATGCATTCTAAAGGTATTTTTCATAGAGATTTAAAACCATAAAATATTATGTTAAAAGAAATAGATGCATTTGATACTATCTCTTTAATTGATTTAGGATTGGCAGACAAATTTACTAAAGAAGGAAAGTACTTATATAATAGATGTGGAACACCTGGATATGTTGCACCTGAAGTTTTATAAGACAAAAAATATGATCTTAAAGTAGATGTATATAGTATTGGAATTATTACATATCTTGCATTAACAGGAAAGGAACCATTTGCTTCAAATAATTATGAAGAATTAGTATAAAAAAATTATGATGGCAGAATTAGTTTAATCAATTTAAATGTTTCTGAAAATTGCATTGATTTTTTGAAGAGAACTCTTTGCAAGGATAATAAATTGAGATTATCATCTGCAGAAGCATTGGAACATCCTTTTATTACTTTTGGAAAAGGAAATCACATATTTTAAACTACTAAAGGAGCCACAACTTAAAGAATGAGTATGACTTCTTTGAGATGCAGTACAGATGCTTCATCTGAAAATGGATCTATTCCAAAAACTTTTAGAGGCAAAATATAATAATATATGAATACTTTCTAAACTCTTAAATCTGATATAAATTAAGAAGTCAAAAAAGAGAAGGAAGAAAATCTGAAAAAGAGAAAAGAATTTTTTATAAGAAAATCACAATTACTCAAGATCAAATAAATTAACAATAAGCCTAATTTTGAATGATTATTTTTTTCTTATTATTTTTAATTTTAATAAAATTTTGAATTCATATTAATGTATTCATAGAACATGTCAAATTTTGAATAAACACATGAAGTTATGTAATAAATTGATTAATAATTAAATGATTACTTATAATCAAGAGGAATAGTTAATAATAACTCTGATCGATAAACAAATTATGATAAATTAATTTAATTAACTTAATAGAGGAACTAATCATTATAAGAATCAAATAATTAAATAAAGAAACAAATATAATAGATTTAATTATAAATGCAAAATATAAAGCTAGATTTTTAGGAAAGATTAAATCAAAAATTATAATTATAATAAATTGAATTATCATCATAATTTGAATAGAAAGTATAATCATTTGGAGAGAAGGCAAGAATTAAATTAATGAATACTATTTAATAAGAAGATTAATGTTTATAATAGTTCAATAATTTAGTTAATGAGAAAGCATAATTATAATAACAATTAGAAAATAAATAATAATAAAATGAATAAATTCAATAGGAGAAAATTGAATTAGAAGCTTCATATTAAAATTTATTATCTATGCATAATTAATTATTATAAATAGATATGTCTTAGAATGAATTATCTTAAAGTAGAACCAATGTTTTAGGTTTATTAAACAATTATAAATAAGAATTAGAGTAATTAAAATTAGCTAATGAAAAAATATAAAAATAAATGGGTGGTGAATTAGATACTTTAAAAATTGAATTAAAAAAATAAAATTAGGAAAATGATATATTAATGGAGAAATTAAAAAATTAAAGTTAAGAATAAATAGAATGTGATAATTTATTTAATTAAATAATGTAATAGAAAGCTAAAGATGAATAAATAAAAAAGAAAAAGAGTAAATGTAAATAAAATACAAAATAATAAAAAGCAAAAATAGATTATATAGAAAAAGAATTAAAAAGATTACAAGAAATTGTTAATACAAAAATTCAATTAAAAAAATAAAAATAATAATGATCATATATTTATATTATTTTTAATTATCAAAATAACATAAGAAAATTAAAAGAATAAATAAATAATCTAATTTTTCGATTATCATAATTCAAAATGTATTGCAACAATTTTATCTCTATTTTTCATTAGCTTCATTCCTTTCAATTTCATATAGTTTGATTAATCCTTCATACAATCTTTTGGTCACAATTGCCTCAGTTACACCAAATCTAGCAGATGGTGAAATATCAGCTGTTCCTTCGCTATCCATATTTGAATGTTCTCCTCCAATACCTCTAGCTTATAATCCTAATGATTTAGCGATATTTTTCAAATTAGCTTCATCCTTTCCACCTTTTGTGATATTTGGGAATTTGCCTAAAATAGATTATCTTTTTCCTGTTCCCATATTGGTTGGACATGTTGTAATAATACCATAAGTAGGATGTTCAGCAAACTTTAATCCACTCTTTTCTATTCCTGTTAATAATTCATTTAATGATTAATCTACTTTACCAAGATCATTTCCTTAGACGATTGATATGATTCTCAAATGATCTTCTTCTCCAACCCAAACCATTTTAGTTTCATCTTCACTAATCCAAATTCCTCTTCCATATGGCCAATCAGAGGCAACACCATTAGACATTAAACAATTATCATGTGTCATATTTATGAACAAGAAATGTTTATTTCTAAGAACATCAGCTTCTTAATCTGAAATAAAATTCTTATGTCCTGGTGTTAAACTATGATATTTTCCAGGGAAACCAAATTTCTCAAAGACTTCAACCATTTGATTTTCAAATTTGATTCTTTCATCTTTATCCATTGATGAAGGTAAGCTATATCCAACTACATTTCTAGCTACTCTTGCTCTCATAGAAACTTTTTCAAGTTTAGGATCAATATTTGTTAAAACATATTCACCAACAGGGATATTCCAGTCATGTTCTTATTTGGTCTATCCTTCAATTTTATGATATTCTCTAATAAGAGGTTCTAAATAAAAAAGGAATAAATCATAATCTTCAGGTCTGGTAGCAGCTATTCCAACTGAGCTATCATTGTAGGTTAATCCTTCAATCATGATGTCTAAGAGTCTTTATTAATCTTCTTGAGAAAGTGTTTTAGCCTTCTCAACTACTTATTAAGTAAAATGCTTATTGGCTAAGCTGACTTTGTTTTTTTTAAATTCCTCCCATCTTGCTTGAATTTTGATATAATCAACATTTCCTTAATCATCCAAATAGTGTTTTCTTAAGTCTTTCTTTTCAAAGATTTTCTAAGACATCTTAATTAATAAATATCTTTTGAGGTGTATTTCAAATATAAACTTAATATCTTAGCATTAAAACGAATTAATTATAATATAAATTGTGAATATATATATATATATATATAATCAATAATAATACAAAATTTTATATTCAAACTTTCTCTAATTACACAAATACTTCTGCAATCATTTCCAATCTCACAGGTTTAGTAATAAATGCATCAAATCCAATATTTCCACATCTTTCTTATTCATTTTCATCATCATATCCAGAAATTGCTATGATTTTAAGTTCATCTACTTATTTTTTTTTAATCTAGTATAATATGTATAATATTACCATATCTTTAATCATTTCTGTAGCTTACCAACCATTTAATATTGGCATCAATAAATCCATAAATATATATTTGATATTTTTTTATTTCTAGAAACTTATTAATTTATTGATAGCTTGTTAACCATTATAAGCTTCTAAGAATGTAATATTTTAAGAGATATCTTGTAATAGTAATTTCAAAGCTAATACATTAAAGGGTTAATCATCAACAATTAAAATAGAAAAATTTGGTTTATTTTATAATATCCTTTATAAACGATTTCTTGGATCGATAACATCTTAAGAATCATCAAGTGCTTATTCTTTGTTTTTAATTTTACTAACAGTTGGTGATCTTTAATTTTTCATATAATTGATATTATGGAATTTCTATTAATCAATATCTTCATATTCAGGATGCATATCTTAATCCTAATCTACATCTAGTTTATCTGCTGGTCTTGAATAAACATACAATAATGAAGAACGAATAAATGTTTATTAAATGGATTACTAATCATCAAATTAAGATTGACTATCAATATTAAAATTTTTAGAACTACTCTCTTATTTAAATACACTAATATAATTTGGTGATCTTTTTGGGTCATCTTATAATCGAGAATAGATTTAAAATGACATCTTAGTTCCTTTATTTTATTCACTCCAAAGATCAATATTTTCAGATGGTCCCAATAATTTGATTAATTTTTTACAGACCATCAATCCAATACCTGTACCACATTTATTCTAAACTTCTTTAGTTGGGAATGTTGCAAACATATTAAATAATTTTGGTTTAATCAATTCAGATATACCACAACCAGTATCTGCTATTGTAATTGTATAAATCATTCTATTAGATCCATTTATAGACTTTACTGATCTACCTGATAATTATTTTCTTAACTATCCAATAGATTATTAATTCTATTATTAACTAAACACATTTTTAGATGAACCAGTTCGAACAATGTGTTAAGATTTATCTGTTTAAAGGGAATTAACTGATATAGTTATTGACCCTGATTCAGTAAATTTCAATGAATTAGAAATAAAATTCATTAAAATTTACTTAATTCTATTAGGATCACTATAAATTTAATATGTAGGTAAATCATAATGTGTTGTTATAACAACTCCTTTTTATTCTGCTTATATAGCTACTAATTCAACTACTTCTTCAATTATTTCATTTAAATAAAAATCACTAATACTTAATCTTAATTAATTCTTTTATATTCTAGCAAAATCCAAAATATCTTGAATCATGTATAACATTAAATATACATTTTTCTTTATTATTCTTAAATAATATTTTTATTATTAATTAACATCAAATTTCTCTTCCATTGCTTCCACTATTGTTGAAATACCATTAATTGGAGTCTTAAAATCATGAAAAACTGTAGCTAATATTTAATCCTTATTTTCATTTTATTTCCTACTTTCTTCTAATTCATCATTCAATATTTCAACCATTTATTAATTTTTCAAATCTTTTAATGATATCATAAATGCTTCTTTATAATCCCAAATACAATGTTAAACTTATATATTTATTTTTTTTTATTTTAATTCATTAATTGTATCAAAATGATATTGACTATCTTTAAATTATCCAAATTTACTCTTTTTTCCTAATTAAGGTGTATCATCATTAAATTAATTAGAGTGTTAATTTTATAATATTTTACCTTATAATTTAGGACTTTCTATTACTAATTCTTATTTATCTTCATTAATTTCATCATGAATAAATGTTGAAATCTTTTTATGTTATGGTAAATCCATAAAAGAATAATCTTCATTAGAAATTTCTTAAAGTTTATAATATTAAATTAATTCTCCAGATATTGATTATAATTTTTATTCATCTAAAATAGAACTTAATGTTTTATTAGTAGAATCTTGAAATTATTAAAGAGTATTAATAAAGTGCTTTTGATTAGCAATTGAATAATTAAATTCAGATTCAATTTAATTAGTATGAAATAGAGGCTATTTTGTTTCGGCATCAATTATTAATATAGGATTAGTTATTGTCCCTTTGAAAAATTCAGTAATTAAATTAGTAAGTATTTATTCATGTTTGTCAATTTTGAACATTAAAGGTACAAATACTAAACCAATATAAGGAAATATGTTGGCATAGAATTCTAATCTAATGCATAAGTAAAGATAGACTATAAAAAAAATGGTGATTCGAAATGGAATTCTTTAAAAAACTGTTATAAGTACCAATAATCTTATGATGAAGAAGAGCATATATTCCTAATAATTATTATGGTAAATACTGGAGATTGTTGTTATTGCAAGAACTCAATTTACAAAATTTAGCATAACATATATGAGATTATTAAGTAGCAATCTCTCATCAAGGCATTTAAACAGTTTTTCTTAAGGAAAACTACAAAAGCAATCATCAAAATTAACTCTGCTATAAATGAAATGCCAAATCCAAAACAACATGTTTTCTAAGAAATATTTACCACTCCAATCACGAGACAAACTAATATATCACAGATGCCATAATATAGTAATCGATTGTTCATATTAATTAAAATTTATAATATATCAAGAATTCTCTATTTCAAATAATATCCATAAGAGAATTTAAGCTATTTCTTGTTTACATTATTTCAAAGTTAAACGATGATATTATGTTTTAATATTGCTTATCACTTTGACATATTAATCATTTAACTATTTGTTCTTTATTATTTTTGATAGATTTGATATGCATTATCGTAAATTATCTTTATTTAATTATTCTAACAAAAATGGGATCATTAACTTTAATTTTAATTCTAATCTATTTATGAACTAAAAATTATTAAAATATATTTTATACTAATTATTCTTTTTCAAAATCTTCTTCCATCTTTATCAACTAAGAAATATATTAATAATTCTCAATATCAAAATAATCAACTTCTTCAAATTCCTCAAAACTATTCTACACACTCTATGAATTAGACATTCAAATTAATTTTAAATAATATAATAAATTCAAAATTGAATAAATTTGTTTCCTGATTTTTAGTAAGGACTCAAGCTAGATTACTTAACTACAATTGGTGTTTGATATACATTCACATTATAATAATGATCCATAGACATATCCTTTAAATATTTAACTCCATATTATTATTTTGTAGGAATCTATTAAACCTTAGTCAAAATCACTGGAGAATAATGTTAAGTAGGTTATTCTCTTTTTTATTAAAAATAATGACTAAAGTATTAATTTATTTATTGATTATTTCTTTATTAATTTGGAGATCCTTCTTATGTAGGATGACTTTTTTTTTGAGTATTATTTTAACTACTTGAATGATGGGTTGAAACTTAAGTGAAATGTTTATTTGCAGGTTCTGGAATGTGAGTTAAATTCTTTTTTCTATTTGTTTTCTTTTATTTATTAATTAAAGATTCCAAAACTTATTTAGTTTGACTCTTCTATTAATTTAATAATTAATTATTTAATTCTTATAATCTTTAAATTTCTTATTATAAGGCAGAGTTTTCATCTTATAAAGATCTTTTACTATTTGGTTTTATTGCTTTGACTAATTAATTTTTATCAAAATCAAATTCAATTTCTATTTCTTCAGAACCTTATTAAATGAAATTATCTTTTAATTGAGAGTTTAGTTACTTTTCTAGATTCCAATAATTACATTTCCAATCATCAAGTTCTGTCTCTAATTTATGAATATAATCTATTAATTTGTTGATTCTTTATACTATATAAGATTCACTAATTTCTAATTATTCTATTATTGGAGATTCATCTAAATTCATTTTATTTAAAGTATTTAGAATTTCACAAAATTTAAAATTTTATGCAACAGACTAATTTAGACTTTTGATTTAAGGACATTCACTTTCTTCTTAAATTATTTATAAATCATCCATTCTTTCAATAAGACTATTTTCAATTGGTTATTCAATTTAATCAATTTAAGGGTCTTCAAATATTGAATTATCTAAATTGCTTTTTAATTAGGCTATTTCTCTATTGTGTTACTTTTCTTATTCATAATATTTCTATTGCCATTCCAATATGATTAATTCTTATTACTCTATTGTTTCTAATGATTAAATGATTTTCTATTTCAAATTCTAAATAAGTCTTATGATTAGTTACATCTATTTCTTAGTTCTTGGTAGACAACTCCTTTCTCAATTAGTCAGTCTAATTATCAATCTATAATTAGCAATATAAATACACATGATTAGTTGATTTTTATGTGTGGCATAAATTAGGAAATTCAAGACTTTTTCTTTAATTAGAAATTTGATTTATCGAAACTCTAACAGGTGAAGGAATCCAAGATTCTGATCTCAATCTTGCTTACTTGTAAACTGTAGTAATTCTTCTTAAAGGATGAGAAAATGATCTTTTCATTACTATCATTTCTGTTAATTAAAAATTATATATATGTATTAATCAGACTATAAGTATATATAATTCTCTACTAAAACTGTTATAATTCAACTTCAATATATTTCTATAATTTAGATTAACATATATCATATTCTATATAATATTAAATACAAGATGATTTAAGATATCTAGAGTATTTATAAATTAATACTTCTTGAATTTTTGTTTATAGATTTTGCAATAAAATTTAGGTTTTTGAATATAATCTTCTATATTAGGAGAGATAATTAAAATTATGTTTCTTAACTTTATTTAATATTTGCATAGAATTGATATATTAAATCTATCTTCAGGAGTTATTTATACTGGAAAATGAGTTTTGCATTTATGGATCACCAAAAGTAGATATCAGAATTAATTATTGATAAAGAAAACTATTAATAATAATGAAGGAAACATTTCTATGATTTAAGAAAAAGTATTTGGGAACAGCTGCAAAAATTAACCAGTTTTGGCTTCCTCTTATTACTTATAAATGATATTATTATTAAGAATAATATATCAATAATTTAATAATGTAGAAGGCAACTCATTATTCATATTCTTAATCATGTTGGATTGTATTTTATCCATATGCTATAATTACTGCATTATGGTAATTATTAATAATATATTTAGGATACCATTAACTCTCTTTGTAGAATTATACATTAAGGATGTATTGATAGTAACACTTATCGTTGATTTGATTGCAACTTCGATTGTATTTATCCAATCTTATAGATATAAGTAAATATAATCATAAATATTAGTAATACATCAATTTATGATTTCTATTGGTAAATCCCAGGATTTTATTTGATTATTTATTGGGTATTTAGAACACCATATTAACCAAATATATGGTTGATTATTGTCCCATTTGCATATTTCATTAGACATAATTATAACTTTTTATCATTTTGGCCAGGATTGACATATGAAGATTTTAGGTATCCAGTATTTAGAAAGAAATTAAATAATGAATTTATATATTGGATTTTTAGTTATTTTGGATTACATATAGGACCCACATTAATGGTCTATTTTGGTTTATATCCTACATATTATGCCTTATTCGATAGTGATCAAGAATATAATGAATATGTCTTTTATTTTGGAGTCCTGTTTGCATTTTCAGCCTTAACAATTGAGACTATTGCTGATTTATAATTATTTCCATGGAGATCTAAAAAAACATAAGAATTTATTGATGAAGGATTATGGAAATATTCAAGACATCCAAATTATTTTGGTGAATGTATGTTTTGGTGGGGATTATTTATTATGACATTATCTTTTGGTTATTAATATTGGTTTACAATAATTGGAGCAGTTATAATGCAATCTCTATTTCTATTTTATTCAATTCCAGAAATGGAAAAACATATTCTTAGAAAGAGACCAAAATATTATATTTAATAAAAAAGAGTGAGTGTTTTTATACCTTGGTTTAGAAATGAGAATGTTAAATGATATTATATTATTTAAAAATATTATAATATTTTATATTTCTTTAAATAACTTAAATATTCATATCAATTTATATTAATTTTCCATTAAAATATAGAATTATATTCACCTTCATTATTAAAAAGACAATGATCATTATATATAAGTATTATTTGACTGATACAAAATTTTTTTATGTTTTCTAATAATTTAAATGTTCCAATTTAGTTAATTCAATAAGATATTCATTTTATATTAATACTTTATTTAAAAGCTTATAATTACTAAAATTATTTACAATTCTATCAATTCTATCAATTCCTTATAACAAATAATTCTTCAAAGTTTGGATAGAGAATCCAAAGTTTTTTCTCAAGTCTTTTAATGAACATTAAATATATTTAATTAATATGAATCATCAAAGGATAAATGTTTATAAATTTTTTAATTTATCTTATTCTTTAGAATTAATATTAAAAAATTGAATTACCCATTTATTAGTTATAAAATTATAATTATAATATCAATTGAGGTTCTGTAATTTCTACTAAAGTACTAATTAATATTTATTTTGGTATTATTTTTTTGCCGAATCTAAAGTTCCTTGTTTTCTTGTACTACTAAATTATGTAGGACTCTCTTCAATAGGTAGTGTATTAAATTGATTCCGATATCTATACTTTAATTATGCTGTTCTAGTTTGATGCAATGCTTGCTGAATATTTAATTAAGCAGGAACTATACATTGACTAGCTTTACGAGAATTCGAGAGAGAACGACTCAATAGTTTTGGAGGTGATTTTGCTGAATTTTATGTTGTATTTTATGTAGTATTATTAGTAGTATTTGTAGATGGAGTAATACCTACAATACCATTACTAAGTTCAGGTTTCAATCTACTCTTAATAACTTTCATTTTCTCCTTACTTAATTTTTATTATTAAGTTAATATTTGATTCATTAGAAACTCAACTCTTTATTTTATTTCCAAAGGTTATTAAGTTTTAGTTGGTTTTAAAAATAATCTACTAGGAGATCTTCCTGTATCTTCTTAATCTTCAACTTATGTTAATAAATGTCTATTATATATATATATATATAATACTTCTTGCTTGTTTTATTAGATGGTATTGTTTTTTATTAAGTATTAGCATGTTTAATTATAGATCCTGGACCATCAGGTACTTTAATTACTATTACTACTTTATTAGCCAATGTAGCTTTATTATTAAATTAATTTGGTCTTAATAATTTTGTTAAATGTGTAATTTCTTAATCTTCAGGTATCATTTATTTATCTACACCATATAGTTTCTTATAAACTTAATAAATTTAATTAAAAATCTATGACATATGAGGAACATAAGTATAATAGATTTCGAGACTTTTACATAACCAAATTTCAAGATTAGATCTATTATCAAAATTAGAATTAATAAATCTTAATTCTGTTGATATACTATAAAAACTTAATCCAGCAAGCATAATTAATTCAAGTATGACTTCTTCTGTAATTACCATTTCAGGATTACTAATAGGATATAATTCTTCTATGTCTACTTATGTCATTTGCATCAAACCTAGAATCTACATTTATAACATAGGATGATTATCATTAAGATTTGGATATAATTTATTATTTTAATTACTAGTATTTCCAATAGAAATCTATTCACTAAATTTATCTAAAGATTAACTTCTACTATGATAACTTCTAATAATTTAAGTATTCTTATCTTCAAATTAGGATTATGGCATTGAACATTTAATGAGTACTAATATTTCTTTGAATACTATTTCAACAATCTAACTGTATGATAATTTTTAGGGTTGCTATGATGTTATGGTGGCTAGATTCATTTCTGAATTTGCTCTTTATTTCTTATTTATTAAATTAGTTAGATTCATTTACTAACATAATTTGATTGTTGTTTCAAAAATAACCTTCAATTATTTTAATGCACTTTTTGCTAATTCTAATGCTTATTTGTTTCTATTATATTAGATTATATTATTACCTTCTGCTTTCAGAAAATAATAAAGTACATTAAAAGATGATACGTAATCGCATAAGTTTATTTTATACAATTCTAGCTAGTAATTGAATATCAATAGGTTGCTTTTTTAATTGTTTCCCTTTAATCTTAAGAATCTAATCGCTATCCAGTAATAAATTGATCACTTCCTCAGTTAATCCATATTTTCTTAAAGCTAATGCATAATTGATCTTATGAAATAAAACTGTTGTATATTAAACTTAAATCCTATAAAATAATGGTTGCTAACATACTAATTCTATGTAAAGTAATCCAATAATTATTAAGCTCTTATATGGTACTCTAATTATTCGTTCTCAGGGATTTCCGACATTGCTATTCTTGTCAATTCATTCATCACTTGATCACCACATTCTGGCTTAAGATAAATTGTCTCTTATGATTCTTCTTTCTAAGGTTGTTAACCACCAATTATTACTTGAATCATGAAATTCTCCTTAGAACTTAAGTTTTCGCGAATAAACACTATCTTCCTCTATAATAACTATTGCACAATAAATTAAGGTGATCTTTCTATCAGTCTCTATTATTTCTTGAATGCCTCAAATTTTAGCATTTTTTTTATTAAAATGAAAATTGATGTCACTTCCCTTAGATAGCACATTTTTTATTATTTTCAAAAGCATAAGTATTATGTTCCCTATTCTAAGCAAATAAATCAATCTCTTATTATAGACTTTATCAAATATATATATTGGATATAAATGATCTTTAGAAGTGATGCATTATGAATGAAAAAGATGAATTATTGTATAATGAAATAATGTAAAAGGTTTAGTAATTAATATCTAAGACTAAAACATATTGATTCTCAATTCATTTTTAACTATAAGAGATATTCTTTATGAATTTATGTTTACTTCAAAAATGATGGCTTCTACTTAAAACATAATTTAAGAATTAAACATTTGTATTAATATTGTAGATGAATTGAATAATTATGTAAAAGATTTAATCTTATATCATAAAATACAAAATGATCATAGTATTATTTAAAGGATTGTATATATTTATAAAATATTACTATATGTACTATTTATATGATAATGAAGGAGTTCAAAAAGAGTATTTATATTAGAATATTTATATATATATATTCTTAAATAATATAATTAAAATATAAATCTAATGATTATAGAGATAGAGATATACAATTTGATAAATAGATAATTTATTTTCTCTCTTTGATTATTAGGTGTATTGTTAGGGTTGTAAAATGAGCAAATGAAAATTAATGATGAATTAATTTAGTTCAAAAAATTAGTAAACTAAAACAAATTGTTCTTGAATATTTTTTATATTAATTATGATTAATTTTGGTGATTAAGTGGGACATAAATTATTTTGTTAGGATTCTGTAATTTACACTTTTTCTGGTGAAGATTTGTTAATTTTAGAAAAGGACACAATGAAATTGAGTAGCAGAATTAATGTAGGTTCATTAATTTAAACAATTGCTATTAATGGAGATATATTTATATTGACTCACAATTCCCAATTTCTTGTGTATTCTGTAGATGGGAAATAATTATAGAGTAAATAACATAAAGGAAAGATATTCAAACATGCTTGTTTTCATAATGATCATTTTATTGCTTATGATGGAAATAACATTGTTAGAGTAGGAACCACATGTTCTAAAATTTATGATGCATAATAATTTAATAATATAAATTATATTCAATATTCAGGATACAAGGAATAATTAATTATAGCAGATGATAAATAGATTCATGTTATTGGTAATGAAGACAAAATTCTTAGATAATTTGGACTTTCAATTACTATTATGTAATTAGATGATGATTAAGATCTTTTAGCTTGTGGATTAAGTAATGGTTAATTAATTTTATTGTAATTTTCAACAGGTATTATTGTTTAATAAGATCATTGGCATGCTCATTAAATTAATACATTAATATTTGCAGGAGCATCACTTTATTCTGCTGGTTAGGAAGGTGTCATAGTATAATGGCATTTGAGAGTTGCAAGAAAGGCATTCTTTCCAAGATAAGGAGGTGAAATTGTAGCTATGTGTAATACTGATGATAATCTCATTATTAATATTAAAGGAATTAATCAAATTAAATAGATTTCTTTAATGGGTTAGAATAAATTACCATTTTATTAAGGAATTCATCATGTTTATCCTAATAGTTTTATTACTTATTAAAATAAATTAATTACATAAGGAGCAAATGGAACTTTATAAGTTATTAATCCTACATAAGGTACTTTATTACACACTATACCAATATAATAAAGAAATTATGTCTCTGATATTGAAGATACATATAAAAGAGATAGAACTATTGTCAGTTAAGTAAATTATATATTTAAAATATTTTAGTTTGCAATGTTAGATAGATTCTTAATTGTTGTTTTGAGTTCTGATCTTAAATAAACATTATCAATTTTTGAAAATATTAATAATTTTGAATTTAATCTAATAACAACAACTGATTATGAAATAGAAGGTATGGATACAGGTCATAATTCAATAATAACTTGGGGAAATGGAGAAATTAGATTATGGAGATAAATTAAATAAAATAAAGGTTAATTTAATTGGAATTGTGTATTTAGAGGAAATGGATATAAAGGAACAAAAATATTAACAGCTTATATTAAAGATGAAAATACTATCATAATAATCACATCTATTAGTATATTACATATTAACATAAAAAATAATAATATTATTAAAGAATAACCTTTAGATTAAACATTTCCAGAGGTTGCTCATATTTATTAATCAGGTGTTTTAGTTTGTAATGGAGGAACAATTACTATCTATTAAGATATTAAAAAGTAGATTAACACATAATTTGGAAAAGCTAAATCAATTAATAAAATGAATGAAAATTTAATTGCTATTTAATATGATAATGAATAAGCATTAATTATAGATCTTAAATAATCTAAAGTTCTTCATGGAATTTCTACTTAGAAATTAGTTTCAGCAACAATAAATGGAAGGTTTATTATTTATTTTATATTATTAGAACTGTATTATATTCTTACATCAACCAAAATAATTAATATAAATTTGTAACTTTTTTAAGTACAGAAAGAAAGGCTTCTTTAATGATTGATGAATAAGAAACAGCTAATTTTGAATAAGTAGAATAACCTGAAAAACCAATTATTGAAGATGCATAACCACTTGATCCAAATGTTTATAGACGATTATAATTAGCAAAATAAGCAAGATAAATGTAATATTATTACTTATTTCAAGTAAAGAACTAAATATTAAAGAATTTTTAATTCCTTAATCATAAATGTTGCCATCTTTAACATTTTTAGCTGATAGAGTTATTGATGTATTGAAATAAGATTTGAGTGAATAAAACAAAAATTAATCATATGGAATTGATCTACATTAAGATGATTAAGAGTCTAATCAATAAAAGACTTCTTTATAATTGCATCAACTAAAGAAATTGTTTAAATGAAAATATATATTATATTTAAATTATTTTTTAGCCATATTATAATAATAAAGTGAATAATTAATTAAATATTAATATGAATATTATCTATTGAAATATATTGTAAAACTAAGATTATTAATTAAGAATTGGATATTTGGTATTATACTCAAAAAGTTGATTATAAGATTTACTTTATTAGAAGAGTAATTAATAAATAATAATATTTGTTTCACAAAATACTTTAGTTCATTTTTATATTGTAATTTCAAGTTCTAAAAGTTCATCATTATCAATCACTACAAAATTACTCTTTAATATGTCCCTATATGTAATTTATATCTATTGCAAGTAATTTTTTGCCAAATAGTTTTCTAATATCTTTTCATATATTTGAGGATTCAAATCTAATTACATATTTTCAATTCCATTAGATTAAACATTCAATTTATATGGAATTGATTATCCTGGATATAAGATACTACCCTATTGAATGTAATCGAAATCTTCAGAAAACTTAATTTGTTATTCTGTAACAGTAAATCCATTGTGATGTTCTTAATTTTTTATTGCTGCATTCAAACTAAAATTCATAAATTTATGTTTATTCAAATCTACCTTCATCTAAGCAAAATTTGATCTTATCTTGATATAAATTATTATATAATACTTTTTAAGGAATCTTTAAAAATTAAGTATTTTTAGGCAAAGTCTAATTATTATAGTAATTTAAAATTTCTTCTAGATTTTCAATTTCAAATTAATCTCCTAATGTGAGACAAACTTATTATTCCTTATTAAATGAAGTATAGATCTTAGCATTCTTGAAATGATATTAAACTGTATTCAAAAGATTTTAGAAATGTCTCCTTTAATAATTGATAAATTTTTATACTTTAATCCATATGCAATTCCTATAAGATACCAATTATCATCATTTATTTCATATACTACATCACTTTAGCATAATTAACACAAATTAATTGTGTAATTATTTAAATCACATTCTTTAATCTCTTATTTAATAGCTTCAAATAGATCTTAAGATTATAAGGAAATCTTATTTTATTATTATTCTAATTATTAAAAAAACTTTTACTTTCAGTTAATTAAAAGAAATTTAAATCAGCATTCTTGACATGTTTAGAATTACTTCTTAATTGTTTCTATCCTTGTCTTTATTCCTTCTCTACTTTTGAAAGAATTTATTAAAATGAAAATTCTGTATCTATTTATTAATTTAAGATTTAAATTTATGATTATTATTTTTATAACTGACTATAGTTATCTCCCTTAATAGGTATACTATCTACAATAACTTAATTATTCTATTTAGTGGACATCTTATATTTTTTTTTATTTAACAATTATTAATTTTATAATTCAATCAATTATTATTATTATTTTAAAATTTCTTATTATTATTTTTATTATAATAATTTTTATTAATATTATTCTTCTTCTAATTTTTTTTATTTCTCCTCTCTTGCTTTTAATTTCTTTCTTTTTTTCTCTTTCTCCATTTACTCTTATTATTTCTTCTATGCCATAAATATCTCAAATTATTCTTCATTATAATCCATCTCAGTTTCCTCTACTTACAATAAACTATTTTATTATCTCTTATGATGATTTAAAGTTGATTGATCTTACTTTGTTTCTAAATCAATATATTCAATTTTTATAGTATCATCTATCTTCATATCTTATTGTAATAGAGAAAATGAATGAATTTTGTTGGCTGAAAGCACATTTGTATTTTCCTCAACTTCTTATTAATTCACAATAGGTTATGATTCAATATTAATTTGATTTATAGCTTATTATTCATTATTTTATGTATTAACATCTGAAGAGGAATGATAAACATCAAATTAAATTACTTCATTATCTTCATTCTCAACTTCTTATTCATATTAATAAATATTTGATTAACTTTCATCTACAGGGATTAAATTGGGAGTATCACTTTCTATATTTGAATTCTCTTATTATTATGGATATACTTAATTTTATGAATTATCAATATTCTCATTATAGGATTCTATTTTCAATTCTTCTTAAGATGAATCATTATTAATTAAGTTTTCTATATTATCTTAATTAATTTGATTATCCACTTAAAGTTACTACTACTCTTATTCTTTTACTTCATTTTCTTCTTCTTTTAGTTGTTACTTAATATCTTATTCTTAAATTGATGAATTTTCAGGGTTTGGTAATTCTGGGATGTAATTTTGATCATTTAAACTATCTTATTCTTAATTGATTAAGACTTATTCATTTTATATATCATCTATTGTAACATCTTTACTTATTTAGATTTAAGGTTCATATGAAATTTCTTCAGTTTATTATTCATTAATTGATAATGTGGGAACTGATTATTCAATCACTTATTCTTATTAATCATTTAGAATTTAAGAAATGTAATCATTTTGATGAAACAGTTCACTACTTTATGAATAATTAGAATCATTCTATTCAGTTTTATCCTCATTTCTATGTTATAATCTTTCATATTCATCAATATTAAAACCGTTATCTAAAGATTCATCTTATGATTTAATAGTATGATCTTCAAGTTTAATTTCTTTAGGCTCTATTTTATCTTATTAAATTGTTATTTATTCCTCTACATTTTATTAATTTAAATTATCTTTTTAAATATTTAAATCTTCTTAAATATTTAAATCTTCTTATAATATCTCTTACTAAGGTTATACTTCTTATATATCATTTATATCTTTATCCTTTATTTATGATTATACATCTTTTTCTAATTCAAAATCTTTTAATTCACTTTATTCTAATTCAATTTATTTTTTAACTTCTTCAATTTATTATTCTTCCTTTTATTTTTCATCATTTAACTATTTCTATTCTTCTTCCAATTCATTTAATTTTAACTCATCTTCTAACTTTTTTTATTCTAATTCTTATTTAATTCTTTCTTCTTCTTAAATCATTTCTTCTACTTCTTTTTTTTTTCTTAATTTTTCTGCTTCTTGTACTTCCTCAAGATAATTAGAAGTTTCTACATTATTTTCCATAACAAAACCTTATGATAATGTATTTTCCATTTAATTATCAATATTAATCTCTTAATTTGATTAATCAATAATTTATTTTTCATCTTAATCTTAATTATCTTATTAATATTATTATTCATTTTATGATTGATTGTCTAATTCTTATTACTAATCATCAGATTATTTTACTTCAAATTACTATAGTTCTTAATCATCTTATTATATTTCTTAATTTATTTAATCATCATCAATTAATTTAGTTATTTAAGAATTTTCTTCTTATTCTTATTCTTATTCTTATTCATTATTATTATTATTATTATTATTATTATTATTATTATTATCAGCATTATCATTTTCTTATTCCAAATTTTCAGGTGATGGATTAATTTATTCAACATTCTCTATTTCTTATTCATTTTGATCTTATTCTTAGGCTATACTATCTGATTAATCTGATTCAAAACTTGAAGATTCATTATCAATCTATATTTATTTTTGAATCTCAGACTAAGATTAAACTTATTCTTTTTATTATTCAATATTTTCATCATTATTGTTAATATTTTCATCAGATATTATATACTCTTGATGAGATTCATCATGTTCTTATTCTAATTCTTATAAATTAGTTTCATCTTGAGATTATTTTAAATCCTGATTAGATTCTTAAGATTCTTTTTCATTGACGATATCTATATCTTACTCATTCACAACATTTATTTATTTAATTTCTATTTCTGCTTCTTATGTCAACCCTAACAATGTATCTTATCTCTCTTCTACAGATTTTTATATTTATTTTTAAGCTTCTTTTTCTTTTTTCTCTTCTGCCTTTTTATTTAAAAGTTTTCTTAAAGCATTTTCTTGTACTGGTTTTGTGTTTTACTCTTCTTATACAACTTCTTCTTTTGATTATTAAGTTTCCTATATTTCCTATATTTCCTTTGATTATTTCTATTTCTTGAATTCTTCAATCTTTTTCATTAAAGTTGTTTTGCCAACATTTTAATCAGTTTAATTAATAACTTATTCTTGGTTAGTTACTTCTTATTTAATTTAAATTGCAGCTACAACTGATGGTTATTGAGCTTATTTTTTTTTCATTTCTAATTTTTCTCTTAAAGTCATTTTCTTTTCAATTTGTTGATTATTTTCAGATTTAGTTTCTATTTTAACTTCAACTTTAGGTTCTTCTTCTTTAATAAAATACTTTTTAAACTTTCCTAACTTTTCAGGATCAGTTTGAAGTTCCGTTTCTGCAATATTTTCAGTTTATGGTTCAAGTCCATCACTCAATTCTTGTAAATAAGATTGAATCTCTATTTCCTTATGCTCTGGTTCTACTATATTTATCTCTTCCTCATCTTGAACTATCTCATGTTTACCAGATCGTACACTTTTATAAAATTCTCTAAAGGAAACTTCATTCTTAGTATCTTCTTCATCAATCTACAAGTAAGGCTTTTATTATTTTAATTATTCAGTGGCTTTCTTATATATTAAGTCTTCAGATCCTAAATCAGTTTCTTCATTGAATTTTGGTTGCATTTGATTTAATAAGCTAAGTGCTTCAGATCTAATAATAGATGTAAAACATACTCTGCATAATTAATATAGATTAGCATACATAATAGTAGGCTTGTCCTAAGAGTATGCATTATACGTTTTATAATTATATAATATATTGATATCACAATAAAAACTATATTCATTCTACTAAATAAATTCGAGAACTCTAAATTGGAACCTTGAAAGTTGTTTAAAACTAGAAAAGTGTAATAATATACAATATCAACAATAAAAATTATCATTAAAACAATAACTTACAAATTAGATTACTCAATAACTAATAAATACTAGATGTTCAAGCTATTTGCAATTACTAAAATATTTCATATACTGTACAATAGTAACTTTATTATTAAAACTTATAATAAATCCAGTTTCTGTTCAAATAGAAATAAACTAAAGTAATTTTAAATAGGAATTAATATAATAATAACTTAAAACTAATTAATATTTCTATTTTTGTTGTATGAATATTTCATATTTTTGTCAAAGATTATTTATAAATTCAAATCAAAATATATTTACTCATTTAGAAATAGTATTATTATAAAAAAAGTAATTATATAATAGAATATTATAAAATACAAAGAATATTGTTTTATTAATTTATATATTGAATAGGTAATACTAAATAATGATTTATTCATGAATTAGAAATTGAATTAATTTAAATTGTATAACCTTCAATTTATAATGTTCTGATAATTTAGTTAGAATTGCATAAAAATTGATTAAAGTTATTTATAAAATAAAAATAAGAAAAGAAATATACATATATAGATATTAAATAATCATAATTCTTTTTTTGATCTAAATAATACTACATTACATTCAGAATTATCATCATCAATATTTTCATTATCTCTTTTTAATGAAATTTATTGAGGATTATCTTTTTTTGCATATGAGATTACTTTATACTTACTTTTAATTCCTTAATTTTTATTATTGGAGATATTATGATTTATTAAATCCATAAAATCATTTTGACTAGTTTAAAGATAGAGAATCTTTTCTTTAGATGGGAGATCAGTAGGTATTTCATTTTATTAATATTAATGATGTTTTTCTTGTTTCATTTTTTTATGTAAATGCCATGGAGAAACAAAGAAATTAGTATTCAATAAAATATCTCTTTAACTGTGATTCTTATTTTAAGTTTAATTTTATCTATAAGTTTATTACTGTAATTGTTCTAAAGGGTTTGATAATTATTTTAGGATACCAGGTTAAAAAAGGACATTTTTTTATATATTAAGAGTGGGTCTTCTATTTTTGAAATTGATGAAATGCTTATAAGTTTAACGATCAATTTTAGAATTACCTTCAATTTCACAAATAACTTTTTTTTCTTTTTATTATGATCTATTTGTTAATGAATGATTTTGTATCTTTCTACTAGTAGATGGAAGTGTTTCCATTCTATATTTTATTGTTTTCAAATCAAATAATTTTTAATATTCATTTTTAGATCGATAATGCATTTTTTGTTTTATTTACTTAATATTTAATTTTAATATATTTAATTCTTTTTAATCATATCAAAAATTAATATAAATGATACCAATAATAGTCTAGTTAATAATCTTAATAAAAAATATATAGATATATATACATTCAAAGTGTATTAATTAATTATAGTAATTATTCTTTCCATTATTTCTTCTCATCTTCTGAAACTTTAATCAAAGAGAGTTCAAATTATTCAAATTACTATTTAATTTGTACTTCATTCTCAAATTGACTAGTTTCCAAATCTTCCTTAAAAATTTCAGTCTATTATCCTTATTATGAAATTTAATTATCAGAAGATATGGATTATTTTTATAATTCCTTCTTTTATTCATTTTAATCCACAATTGTTCTATGGATCTGAATCGATAAACAATAAAAATTTTTACCTCAAAAATAAATTGATCATTTATTGCTGAAAACACATTAATATTCTCTTCAAATTCTTATATGAGTTTCTATAATTCAAATGATGTACATTCACTTTATTTAAAAAGTGACTAGACTTTTTTAATACTTTGTTTAAGAATTTAGGCTTGGGATATAAACTGATAATAATAATGCAGAATATAATAATACCATTTCATATGGATCTGTGTGATGAGAACTTAAAGATGAATTTATATAGCCATAATTAGAGGATACATTAGTTTATTTGTTATCCAAAGAGTCTTTATCTATTAATAATAAATTTAAAATACTGGAATTGCTATCTTTTAATTTTATTAATGTGGCTATATTAGTAATATTTTGTGGTTAATTGGAATTCATTTAATGGTATTGTATAAAGGTTTGTTTTTAAGATAATTAATGCTCTATATGAGAATTAGATGTAGATACTTAGAATGTTTTCATCTTTTTAAGATTGTCTAAGAGTTTCAATAGTTTAATCCAATAAACCTTTATATTATTATACTTCATTTTCTAATGACTTATTACTTGATAAGAGTTTCTAGAATTAGAAACGATGATACTTGATGTTGTATATTTAAGTTTTGAATGAATTCAAGGTTCTATTAATGTTCATTTTTATTATCTATGGTATTGGTGGAATGTATAATTTCAACATCATCATCTTCTAACATGTTGGTACTAATTTAAAATAATACACTAATAAATTTTATAAAGAAATATAAATATGTTATAACATCATACTATTTATTTTTTTTATATAAAAATGGTCTAAATGAGGGGCAAGATTTCGAATTAAAAAAATATAAAAGATTTATTAATTTATTAAATTAATCAATATAATCTCCATAATGAATAACATATTAAGTGATACTCAACCTTATTTGCCCAAGGATTTTCAAGGAACTGAAAATGAAGAAGGACAGTTAAGTGATTAATAAAAAGTGAAGTAATCCTATTTAAATATATCAAAGATTGGTGAACTTGGGTATGATGACTCCAATGAGTAACACTTTGACTTATGATTTTGAACAAATGACTTTAGACACTTCACCAAAGGAGAGTGAAATCAATAATAAATATTATGCAAATATTGACACCATAAATGAATAAGAAGAAAATAAATGCAAATTATAAGTAGATTTCATCATATATATATATTAAGAAATATCAAAGTTTCAAGATAACAAAAGAATAAATTAGGAAATCTCCAAAGCATAAAACTTGTTAACCATAATAGACCATACCATAATTAGAATTAGGAGAATAAAATTTAGAATGTCAAATAGATTAATAATCACCAGTCACTTCTTCAATGAATGCCCAGACATTGAAATTTATCAAAGAACTCTGGAATTCAGATAAGAGTGAAACTGAATACTTTAATGAGATGATTGATTAGAAAATACCATATCTAAATTAACCTATCTATTCTCCTTTAATGGATTGTCATAGTCCCATATATGAACCTGATATTGAAATGGATTTATATATAACAAGTTTAGTGGTGAGATTTTAAATTCTATTTTAGGATTAAGTATGGGGTAATTAGATAGTCAGTAGAAAATTATAGAAAATGATAGAATCAGGATCAAATGAATAAAAGGAATTAATTGTATAGAAATTAGAAAGAGTTACACCTTAAGTAGAAAAGGACATATTCGGCAATTATGTTGTTTAAAAGATCTTTGAATGCAGTATAATAATAATAATTATATAGCCAATAATAAATTATAATAGAGGATGTTCAATAAATTAAAACCTCATTTTTATGATTTATCTAAAAATACTTTCGGATGTAGAGTAATGTAGAAATTGATCGAATATACATATAATCGAAATGATCTATAAATCATAGTCTTGTAATAATTACAATCGAATATGCGATCTTTGATTTATGATGTAAATGGAAATTATGTGATTTTCAAAATGCTCGAAACTTTTGATAAATTAAAAATGGAATTTATGATACCTTTAATTGAAGAATCAGTATTTCATTTAAATTATTATTTTTATAGTTCAATTATATGGGATAACAAATTTATGGTTGTAAAATTATTCATAAAATGATTTAACAATATTCTCAACAACAAATCGCTAAAATTATTAGATTATCTGTCTAAAATTACAATATCTTAAGTTAAACAGAATATGGAAATTATGTATTATAACATATTCTTTAATACTGGATCCCAAGTCAAGAAAAAACCTATTTAGTTCAATTAGTCTTACAACAGTTCTTTTAACTTAGCATTAATAAATATGCCAGGTATTCTTATTATATAAAATTATTAGTAATACTGTTGAACGAGCATTAGAGGCATTGGGAAAGCTAGAATTAATTTCTATTATGAAATGGCTACTTTGTAGAAGTCCTAATTAATAATAGTATATATTATTTATAATACTCTTATAGCATAAGCAATTTCGTTGTATTAGCTAATCATCAATATGCAAATTATGTAATCAAGAAATTCTTAGTGTTAAGTGATCATAATGTATTAAAATATATCTCAGATCACTTAAAATAAAATTAATATGAATAAACAGCAATTAAATCTACTGTCCATGGTAATTATTTACTTTAAATTTAGGTCAAAGAATAAATAGCTTCTTAGAAAAGCAAATTTAAAATTGACCTTGATTACCAAATATAGCCATTTTCAATGAATAAATATAAAGAATATATAATTATTTTTATTATTTTCTATGAAGTATTCTGTGTTAAATTGTTTTTATAGGAATAAAGTATTTTACTACACAACTAATAAACTTTATTAGAAATTTTAAGAGATGAGTTACCAATATAAAAAACATTCTGATTATAAATACTAATATATGTCTACACTTTAAATAGTCAATTCAAATATATTAATTGCATTTAATTTTATCAAAACTAAACATTATATTGCATGATATAGATAATGAAAATATTTTAATAGATTTTTAGCTTTATTTTGATGAATCAAAAATGTTATTGAATGTGATTTTATCATAAAGGATAATACAACTTGAATATTAAAAATCTAATAAATAATTAGCTTTGGTTCTTTTTATTGAAAGTACTTATAGAACTTGAAATTGATTGATACATAAAATCCATCGCAATGTTTGTAAATGTAATTCATATAACTATGTCTAATGAAATAATATAATTTCATATATCATTCTAAATAATTCCTTGTCTTGATATTATTGAGAATATGTAATTGATTAAAAACAATGTTTTTTTTCAATTGATATTATCTGAATTTATTCTTATTTGGGAATATAATTTTATGTATAAATAAAATGATTATCTATAAGGATGGGATATCGAATAATCTGTGGATTCTGAGGAAAATGAAAAAAAATAAGTTACTCAAGTTTCTAACATTACAAAAACTTAACCATCTGATAGGTTAAGTTTTAAAAAGTTATTCTTAAAGAGTCCTCAACTTTCACCTATAAGAGTGAATCCTCCTAATCATTAAACAACTCCATTGAGAGAATCAATAAAATAAAAATTTGTGTTTGGCAATCAATTAATGAATAAGAAATATGAGATGAATAAAGGATGTGATGTTGATATTGAATAATCTCATCAAGTATTTAATGTAAAATTGTAATAACCAATAAATATTGCAAATTTACGAATAAAATTAAATGCCATTCCAAAATAACCATAACATACAAAAGCATATACTCAAAACTAATTGTAAGCAATGATGCAGTTGAAACGTAGAAACTTATATTTAAGATCAGTACTCAAAAAGGTATGTATCTTGAATATTAAAGGTTTGTCATGAAAGTGATGAACGATATTCAAATCATTAAAAAGCTTAATAGTAAGAAATATTTCTCGGTTATCGATATATAGATGAAGATCTATAGAAATTACAGAGTCCAAGTAATAGTATGAATCTCTAGTATATCATTGTATATTATATTTAGATAGTAATCCCGTAAGAATAGTAATAGAAGACCTGTAAAGGTAAAGTAATAATTTTGAGCTTAATTAACTTTATTTTATATATAATTTTTTGATTAAAGATATTAAATAAATTATTTATTTGAAATGGTAAAGAAGGAGAAGGGAAAGCCTAACCCATTGGGTGAAGTAAGTAGAGATTACACAATTAATCTTCACAAGGGTGTTCATAAGGAAACATTTAAGAGAAAAGCCCCAAGAGCTGTCTCCTATATTATTAATTTTGGTATAAAAATGAATTGATTATTCAGCAAGAAAGAATATGCTTACAGAAGATGTCAGAATTGACCCATCTTTGAATGAAGCAGTTTGGGCTAGAGGAATCAGAAATCTTCCAAGAAGAATTAGAGTTAGATTACAAAGAAAGAAGAAGGAAGAAGATGATGGAAAAGGCAAATATTATACACTTGCTTAACATGTTCCTGTTGAATCATTTGATGGTTTAAAAACAGAAATCACCAAGTCATAATGATCACATTACAATATATTAATATTAAAATATAATAATCAGTTAATGCTAAATAAAAGTTCAAACTCATCTACCATTTGTCAATTATGTAAAATGACAGCTTAAAATCCAATTCAATTGATATGTTCACATTCAATGTGTATGAAATGTGGACTAAATATTCAAATCCAAGAAAATACAAGGTATATCATTTTAATCTAAACAATAGTTAAATCTAAAATAAGTTTAGAATTCAATGTCCAAAATGTCGTAAATTGACACATACTTATGATATTAAGAATTTATTAATTGAAAATAATGAATTATATCTAATTACAGATTCAAGTGAAATGGAAAAAGAAATCCTTAATGAAGTAAGTTTCATATTCAATCTAGAGTCAATTCTCACTCTAAAAGAATTAATAAGATGCTATCTTGGGTAGAAGATAATCAAATGCTTATTAAATTTAAGAATTATCTTAAACAAACAATAAGAATATCTAAAAAATAGGTGAAATGTTTACTGTCTAAGCCAATCATAATAATCCATAAAATGCCTTTAATAATGCTTAATTTAATAAAAAGAAACCAAATTTAGGAAGTGAAAGAATATCTCCAAGTAAATAAATATAGAAACCAACTTAATCAAATCATTAAAAAAAGTAATCTTATTAAATCCCTTAATAAGAAGTTGCAATTGAATGTATTAAATTAAATATTTTAAAGGCAAGGCTAAAACCTAAGCAAATACATCAAATATTTAATAAAATAAAATTAATGATTTCTTTAAACCTAATTCCAATACTCCTGTTGCAACTCCAACAACTATTGCATCATAATTATAATTTCAATAAACTGATAATAAAAAACCTATTTAATAATAAGTCATTTAATAATAAACTATATATTAATAACAATAATAATAATATTAATAATAATTGTAATAGTAAAGTAAAACAGATAAAGTATTTGAAACTAAATAATATTATCCTGAAGAAAAGAAATTATCTACTCCAAAATATAATGAAATCATTAAAGAAAAAGAGAATCAACTTTTAAAAGAAATTTCAAAAGATAGTTCTAATACATCCAAAGAAATATCAGATAACTCTAGACATAAAAGAAGTTCTACAGGTCTTATTTAAGAAACTGAAGAATAAGCCTCTGTTTAGATTATATAATCATACTTTAAGATGGTTTAGAAAAATGTTTTGAAATTAGAAAAAGATGTAATTGCTGCAGTTAATAATAAATAAGTGGATCCTCAAAATATATATTAAAAACTCAAAATGTTAACAACAAGAATTAGTGATAATGAAGGTGAACTCATTTAATCCATTAAAGTTATGCAGAAATTACATTAAGAAATAATAGGACTTTCGACTCCATCCTAACATAGAAAAACTAGTTCTCATCAAAATACAAGTCATAGATATACTAATACAAGTAATTATGTGAAAAATATTGAAAAAAGTGATTAAAGTATTGGAGCCATGCCTTAAGAATTAAAAATATATAAAAAGTTTTTATGATTTCTATTTATATAAGCATTCATATTATTCAAGAGTCTAATTTAAAATGTTTCAATTCACATGGATCATTTATTTCTATAGCAGCTTTTTATGATTATTTAATGAATTCTTTAACTGCTTTTTCATTCCTTCCTTATTTAAACAAACTCTATATTTAATATACTAATATTTACTTTAAGGTATAAGTCTATTTATACTTTACGTTTAAGTATAAATTATTAATCTAAATTCCCAAAAATTCGTTTCTCAGGAAACTTTTCTAATCGTTAAACTATCTATTTATTTAGTTTGGAATTTAAATCCTCTAACAAACTATACCTTGTTTAGAATACCCAATAAAGTGAACCATATATCACTTTAATTTAGTAGATAGTAAATTACTTTTCTATAGTTTTGTAATTTATAACCTCAACTTAAAATTCACAATTCTATAAATAAATATACAAATTTACTTATTGATCATATTGTTTACTATTTAAGTGTTTTTTTACTCTTTATTTATTTTATCTGTTTAGGAAGGCCATTATAGGTAAATCAGAATTGTTTTCATTCACTACTTAATAATTTTAATCGTATTATATTTTTTGAGTTTAGTTAGCCATTTTTGATGGTTTATTTAAGAAGAGTCTTGAAAAAGTTAGACAGATCTAAACTTTTATTTATATTAATGAAATTTAAGCAAATTATTTTCTTAAAAAGCACTAAAGTGATAAAATATATTAATTTTTATATTGATAAATTTATTAATTCATAATTTAAGTCTATATTTATATAAATAAATTTAAGTGTTTTTAATTTGTAAGTGTATATTATGATATCATTATATTTAAGTCTATATATTAGATTGCTTCATCTTTGCTAAAGATTGTCTGTCTTATAATAATTTGGTTTAATTTCAACACTCTTTAAAATTAATGAATGTCATATGTTTGTTCATATTATAATTAATTATTAAATAAAATAAATTGAATTGAATAAAAATACTCAATAAATATATTAAATTATAAACAATTATAGAAGTATCCATTAGACTTTTGAAAAACTTTAAATATTATAATAAATCCCTTTTTTTATTAAATCAATAGAATATATAAATATTTAATTTGGTCTTTTTTAAATTGCAACATTGCAGGATATGATAGAGACTTTTTATCAAATTAATATTTTAATTGATGCAATTTAACTTTCTTATTTAAAATACAATAATTATAATTAACATCTTAAAGTTGAAAGTTCAAAATGTTATTAAAATATTCATTTTAATTTTTTATGTCTAAATGATTTACAATGTTATTTACTTGTGATAGGTCTTATAGATCTAAATTTTAGTTTTAATTTAAGATTTCAATAGTTGTAATACCTTATAATAAAAAATAACAATATTTTAAAGATATCTATGCTTATTAAATATCATATAAACAATTTTGTTATTTTAAGTTCATTTTAGAATAGCATTTGAATATTATATTAATTTTATGTATTTACTATTAATGGTGTGTTGTCTTTTGAATTATTCAAATATTGATAATATAATTATTATTATGATATATAAGAAGAAATAATTTAATAATTTGTTGATGTTTAATTGTAGAAAATAATAAATGAATATAAAATCTAGAATATAAATGTTAAGTACTATATATGAGTAGTAAATATATATTTGTTATTTAATTGAATTTTATTGTTATAAACTTGATTGAAAATATTGTGCTCAAAATTAAATGTTGCACTTAAGAAAACTGCCTACGATATATAAAAATGATATGGAAAACTATTAGATTCGACGTTTTGAAAAAGCTACACATTTCAGAATGATTAATTAGAGTGTAACAAGTAAAAAGAAAATGAATCGCATTCATCCTTAATTGTTATTGAGTGCTTAAAAAAAATTTTTTATTGAACTCACCTAATTAAATGAGAGAAAAGGAAAATATTTATTGTAAATGTTTGATTTTAAAGTAGATTCAAATATAATAAAAGAGGAAAGAGTTCATAGTCTAGTAGAGAAGGAACTTTGAATGCTTCAGCTTAATTAGTGATGGTTTCATTACCTTATTTTTGTTCAAATCACAATAGAAGAAAACTTATAATAAAGAAATGGAAATAGATAATATGGGGTGTACGAATAGTAATAAGATACAAATATATATTGAACAATCTTCAATTCTTTGAACTTCTTAATAGATTACCAAGAAGACGTAAAGTATCATCACCCACATCAGTTTCTCGTAGTCCAAGAAAGAGACGTTTAGGAGTTTAATCAGTTGATAATAATTTTACTCTTGCAACAAAAGGATATGGTGATGAAACTAATTCTAGCAAAACATCTAGGAAATTGAAGAACTAATTATCAGATAAATATTTGAAATCTACCTACTATTAGGATTTCAAATAGAAAGACTAAAGATTAGACAGATTAAGAACTAATAGTTTAAACTAATTGCAAAATTCTTAATAAAGCTAAATAATATAAACAGCTAGAACCTAATCAGTGTTGATAAGAAAGTTCAGATTGAAAAAATTATGATTAAACTATTATAATATACACAAGATCATTCAATTGGTGGCCATTTTGACTTTATGAGTTAATGATAAGCTTCTTATACAAAGTCAAGACATTCTTATAGTAGAAATCTAATTTTTTAAATACATAATTACTATTTATCTTTAGACCATTTCTTAATTAAATCATTCTTATTTGTTATTTCATTAAACATAAGTGCTTTTATTATCTTTTATGAATATGGTTGCATATTTGATTCTCTAATATCTGCTATTTTATATTTATAATATTTTTAGAGTATCTAATAAAATTATAATATCTATCCTGAATAAAGAGCTCTTGCAAATTTTGAATAGAATCCCAATTAATCTTTAGGGAATGGTATCTATTATTGAATATTAATAATAATAATTACTTCTATGTCTTCTAAAACCCAAGAATTTTCTATTACAGCACTTCCTTTACACATCATTCTATCATTTTTTGAATCATAATATTCACTATTTTCATAAATAGTAAGTTTTTTTAATTAATTAGATCGAGTATCTAAATCATATAAAATAGACTTATTTGGTACTTCAGTTAGATTTACCATATAAATTTTAGGAGTTGTGATTTATGAATGTTATTCTCCAAAAGTTAAGAGTTAACAATATGATATATATTCACAGTTCTATTTTCCATAATAAATACTAGTTGGATGTATATAAACCTATTCATATTCTCTAGTTGTATAATAATAACGATTTATATTTTTTTCTTAATCTAATTTACATTATAATTTTGCTATTTTATGTAATCCATTTGTTTAAACTATTAATTCAGCTAATGTAAGTTGAGCTTCTCTTGATGGTTTTTAATACTATTTAATAGCAGAAACACATTCAGTTACTATTGTTTTGTCTTCCACTATTAAATTCAAAATTTCAAGAATTTATAATAAATTATAATAGATTTCTTTAAAAGACTTACTAATAAAATGATATTGCTATGATAATTAATTAATTTAATATTAGATATCTTAATCATCTTTAATTTATGATATTGCTATTCCAACAATATTCATTAAATAAATTAAATCACTTATTTTATATCCTTCACCATGCTTTTCTATAAAGGATTTTAAATTTTTATATGTTTAGAATTAATCTTTAATTTATTATTGTTATTCTTTTTATTCTTATTCTAATTATTTGATTTCATCTTAATCATTATCATTAGTTTATATTTAAGTATGAACTTAAAATACTTATTTATTAATTATTTCTTCAACACTTAATATACATACCATTAAAACTCCATATTATAATAAATTTCTTATTCTTGTTTAAAGAAGAAATTTACCATATTTTGGACTTAATGGTATTTAAGATAATATAATACCTAATTATGTAATGTTTGAATTATCAGAATTAGTTTCTTATTTTATTTTCATAGCTCCCAATTTAATTAAATTAGTAAGACTTTCTTTTATTGCTTTAATATCTGGACTTGTTAAATATGGAAATTTATAAACATCTTTGATACCTATACTTTTCATTTATAAAATAACATGATCTAAACTAATTTAAGTGATTTCTGGATTATCAAATTTTTAAAATTAATTTGAATATACAGCTGTTGAATATAATCTATAACAATAACCAGGACCAGTTCTACCAGCTCTACCACTTCTTTAATCAGCAGCTGCTTAAGATATCCATCCAATCATATGTTTTTCTAATCCAATTTTAGTATCTGTTATTTTTCTTTTTTATTTACCAGCATCAACAACATAACGTATAGTTGGTATAGTTATTGACGTTTCTGCAACATTAGTAGCAATAACAAACATCCTTTTTTTAGTTGGATTATTATGAAATATAATTTATTAATTTTTAAGATCTAATTTAGAATATAATGGAACTACAACATAATCAGATAAATCTGTATCTATTTTAAATACATTATTTTATGTCATTTATACAGTTCCAACTAAATTTTTTAATTCTAAATAATCAGCCTTATCATCATTTAATTATTATTATTATTATTATAATTATTCTTCTTCATTTTCTTATTAATTTAATTATTATTAATTTTCTTCTTCACTATTTGAATATTCTTAATCTATATTTTATTTTCTAATTCCTTATCTTAATTTATCATTTAATATGCTACAACATTAATGGATCTCTTTCTGTCCAGTCAAAAATACTAAAACATCTCCAGGAGGTAATGTCTAATGAATTTTAACACATTTCTCTATAGCTGCCTAAACGTAATCATCTTTAGTCCTACAATCATTACAGGTATTTACACTTTATTGAAATATATTTGTACTGGATATTGACGAGTTTATATTTTTATTAAATTGAGTGTTCTTGGAAATACTAATTTATTATTTAAGAAATCATCTAATCTTAATGTAGCACTCATAATAACTAATCTTAATGGTTTATTCATTTTTGCTCTTGCAATTACAACTCTTGATAATACTCCAATCAGTAAGTCTATATTTACTTTTCTTTCATGAGCTTCATCAATTATAATTACAGAATACTAAGGTACCATTACACTAGTTTACATTTCATTTATTAATATACCATCAGTCATAAACTATAATTAAATATAAAATCTACTTTCATTTTCATTTTATCTACATCAATTCCACTACATTCATGTTTAACTTAATATGATATCTCTTTTCCCATAGTAAAACCAGTTTCATCTCTAACTCTTTATGCCAAAGAAATTGCTGCCAATCTTCTTGGTTGTGTAATTGCAATTGCACCAAATTCAGTGAATCCTGCTTCATATAAAAATTAAGGAATTTAAGTACTCTTACCACATCCTGTTTCTCCTGATATTAAAGTAATTAAATTGCCTTTAATTGCATCAATAATATCATTCTCTTATATTAAAATAGGTAATTATGCTCTTTATTTAATAATATTTTCATCTCTATTTATTTATTAATTTTTAAATGAATTAATATCTGTAAGTAAACTATCATAATTTGTAATTGATTATGGATCAATATCATAAATATCATCTTTTTCAGGATCATATTCTGATATCAATTCTCTTGGTTATGCTTAAACTTATCCTTTAGGAATTCTTTTCTAATCAAATGACTCTAAACTAATATCTGGGAATAATTATTTAGCCATAATTTCTAATCGTTCTGCTTCAGACATTTTTTAATGAGACTCATGATGTTAAATTTATATTGGATTTTCATTCTCATATACAACAGTATCAAATATATTCACTTGTTATATATTATTATTTTCCTATTAAACTTCTTCTTTATTATCATTTATCACTTCTTCTTCTATTTAATTTCCTACAGAATGTTTTCGATCTCTTTTGCTACTTGTTGCATCCTTTATACTATTGAGTTAATTCATCTATTCTTATGTTAATTAAGATTTTGCCAATGCAGCCAACAATTATTATCTCTTAGCTTCCTTTTCTTTCTTCTCTTATATTTTCTTATCTTTCTTGTTCATATATTAAATTATTAAAAATGAGCAATTCAATTGGCCAAAGAAATATTATACAAAATTATGCTTTAGATACTAGTTTCTACCGTGTAAAATAAAATCAATCAATACTTACTACTCGTCATTCCAAATTACCTTCATTTAATAACCCCATTCCAATTTCAACTCCTACATCTCCTAAAGAATAACAAAGTATGTGGAAAACAAATCTTTGTTTTCAAAATGATAATTCTTTCAGTCACAATCAAAAAAGACAAGAAAATTTCTCTAGTTATTAGAAGAGTGTCAGTCCTCAATTAAGATAATTACCTCGCAAATCATTTCAATTATAACTGGATTAATAACCTAAACTTTTCTAAGCACCTAAATCATAAGAAAGACGTAGCTTTAGAAACTCTACTTATTCTAGACCTAATTCAAGACTTATTGAAGATCAGTATACTTTAAAAGTAGCATCTATGAATACTGAAATTGGAAGGGGCAATTTTAAATTTCATTATGTCCTAGGAAAAGGAGGATTTGGAAAGGTGTGGAGAGTAGAGATGATTAAAACACATAAACTATTTGCTATGAAAGAGATGAGTAAAGCAAAGTAAATCTAAATTTTGCTAAAAGGGTTTTGGCCAAAAAATCTGTCAATTCAGTTATGAATGAACGTATTCTTCTCTCACAACTTAAACATTCATTTATAGCCAATATTCATTACTCCTTTTAAGATAGAGATAACTTGTATCTTGTACTTGATTTGTTAACTGGAGGCGATCTTAGATTTCATATTGGAAAAATGCGTAGGTTTTCAGAATAACATACTAGTATGAAACTTAAATTTAATTTTTATAGAGTTCTTAATTGCAAGTATGCTATTAGCTTTAGATTATCTACATAAAAATGGAATTATTCATAGAGATATTAAACCTGAAAATATTGTTCTTGATAAAAAAGGATATCCAAGATTAACAGATTTTGGAATTGCTCGAATAGTAAAACCAGAAAATTCCCAAGAAACTAGTGGAACTCCTGGTTATATGGGTATTTATATAATTTATTTATTATCAGCTCCAGAAGTTATGTTTAGATTGAATCACAGTTTTGGTGTTGATCATTTTGCATTAGGAGTAATGGCTTATGAATTTATGATGGGTAAAAGACCATATTTAGGAAAAACTCGTAGAGATATTAGAGATGCAATTATTGCAAAATAGATTTAACTTAAAAAACAAGATATTCCTCCTAATTGGTCCTGGGAAGCAGCTGATTTAATTAATCAATTATTATAAAGAAAACCATAAGCTCGTTTAGGATATAATAGTATTGAAGAAATATTAAATCATCCATGGTTTTAAGGATTTCCATGGAAAGGATTACATGAAAAGTAGTTGCCATCTCCTTTCAAATTGACAAAATCATCAGATGAAGACTTCATTCGTGAGATTTCCTCTGATCATGATTCATAAGATGAATTGATATAGGAAAATATATTATTACTTAGATAAGAAACCATTTAAAATCTATTTGAAAATTATACATACTCAAAGGAACATCAAGTAACAATAAAGAGATTTTGATTAAAATATTGTACTTATTATCAATATTAATATAATAATGACAGTAAAATTTTGGATGTTACATTTAATTTGTAAATCTATAATATTTATCAAATAAACTTTAATGCTTAATTAGATTACAATTATTTAAGATTCAGTCAAATCCAAAAAAATAATAATTATTATCTTAAGGATATATTAATATTTAATAAAAAATTATAAATAAAATTAACTAATATTATAGCGTTCATTTAATCGGTTTTTCATAATAACTATGTTTAAATTGAATAAATACCCAAATTCTGATGGTAATTTATATGCTCCAGGACCAGGAGATTCAACTCTAATTTTAGTTAGTTCTCTTTTTGCTCTTGTGAAAACAGTTGATTTTGTATCTGCAAATTTAGAACAATAATAAAGTCCTTTTGGATCAATATCTCCTGTATGTTAATATTATCCTGGTCCAGGAGTTAATTCATGAGCAGGAGAAAAACGAGAACTTTTAGCTTTAGGTGGTGAGAGTATGATTGCACCAGAACTATTAGCTTAAATTAAGAATTACTCTCTAAATTTGCTAATTTTATATTTTCCATTTTCATTTAATGCTTCAGGTAAATTGTATTGTCCACTAATAATAGATAATAATAATGATACGGTCCAGGTTTTCTATCTTTTTCCTTTTGACTCTCAGTTCTCATTCTCATTGAATATTTAATAGGAGATTTAGAGTCTTAGAACTCATATTGTCCTGGTCCTGGGGTTTTTTGAATTAAACCAAGAAAGATACCATCATATTTATTGCTTTTCTTTGGAATGTTTAAATGATGATGTATACATCTCTGCCTACTGGCATAGTCCAACCATTGCTTGCGTTGAGTGTAGTCTTAATTTAATAGTTATTTGGGCCTGGGGTAATGCTTTCTTAGATCAAATCTGACTTTTATCCATATCCGATACCAGCACCACGTTTACTCATCATGCTTGGAAGTGTGTAAATGTTTGGACATCTAGATATATGATTATGATAAATTACGCTGAATCCTTAAATTCTTTGAATCGATTAGCTTTTGGGAAAGAATAAAGTTATTTGGAAACAGAATGATTCAAAGGGGATTTGTTTATTTATTCAAACGATGTATTCATCTTAATTATTTTTATATTATTATATCTGTTATATCTCATACTTCTTTTTCTTGTACTTATTATTATGTAGCTAATTTGGCTTGGTTACAGAAACATTCAAATTATTTCACTTATCTCTTTATTGAATCAAGTGATTTATCCACTTATATCTTTAAAGTGATCAAATTTTAAGGAACAGCAGCTCTCAACTTCTCAATTTTCTAAAATTATTAATATTAATTAATACATTGCAAAGACTGGCCAAATCATCAGTGATTGGGAACAAATAATCATAAAAGGTCTTACTGAAATCATTACTTTTCGTTTAAAAGATTTAAATAATGACTTCAAAGAATTTGTCTTAATAAGGTTCCAAACTTAGGTAACGTCTTTCATTATTGAATCCGGCCATTGATTCTTACATCATTTTGACTGATTCTTTATCGTTTGGATCAATGAACTTTTACCAAAGAGCAGCTCTTTCTTATTCATTTGCAATAAGAGCTTAACATCTTAATTATGCTCTTGAAGCTGCATCAGAAGTATCAAGTTACAACATCTTTTAAAGTATCTCTTTTCTCAAATCAGGATTTTCATCATATTTTTATGAAGCATAAACTAATTTAACAATTGCCCATCTGTTATCTTTTGTACATTCAATTTAAGATAATTCTTAATTTTAACCTTAGAACCAAGCTAACAATTCATCAATACAGGAATTATCATATGCAAATGATGTTAAATTGTTTCTCAATAGAATCATTCTATTTTCTAATTATGGATCTTTGCTAACTTTGACTAATTATTCTAGAAGGAATGCAAATACTCTTTTTCCTAGTGTTTTCTTGAATCTATAATAATTATAATAATAAATTACCTTCTTGGTGTCATAGATCCAATAGCAGCTTATAAGAACATCAATTGAGAATTCAAAATTTCATCTGAATTTTCTCTTGGTAATTAATTTAATAAGAAATCAACATATTCTTCTGAACATATTTTACCATCTCTTACACTATCAAAAAGAGCTCTGTAAATCAAAGTTCTTGTAAGGACATCATTAACTGCTTATAAATTTTAACTGAAATATTTAGTTGATTCTTAGTCAAGGAGTACTTTAACAAATGATTAATCTTCATAATTCAATAATATTGCTCTATATCCTTTACTACCATCATAAGTAATGACGTTTTCTTCAGTTGCTTTGAGTACAGCATCAATAGAATCAATACCATTATCATGGAACAATCCTATTTTAATTTTATGAATTCTCAAAGTAGGGAATTAACTTAAAGCAGGTCTTTAATAGATTGTTAATTTTGCTTAATGAGATCTATCTGTTTAATCCCATTAAGGTTCAATTTCATTCATACCAGCAGTTTCAATCCATTATTTTTTCCATTAAGATAATGTAAATTCTGGATTATCAAATTTCTCTTATAAATGATCAATTAAATCTTATAAAACAGCATTCTTCCATCCAAATTTCCTAAAGTAATTTCCACATGCCTCTCCAAATTTAGCTGCTCCCATAATACACATTAATTATTTCATTACTGAAGCTCCTTTAGAATATGTAATTCCATCAAATATATTTTCTGCTACTTCAGTATTAATAACATCACCAGCAATTGGATGTGTAGTTACCATTTAATCTTCTCTATATCCCCATCCTTTTCTTTAATTGAACATAACAGGTATATTTGATAATTTTATTGATTCAATTTAAATATTTTCTAAACAAAAATGAGAAATGAAATCTGCATAACTTTCATTTAACCACAAATCATTCCACCACTTCATTGTTACATAATCTCCAAACCAATGATGAGCCATTTCATGAGTAATTGTATTAGCAAATTATGTGTAACTAGTTGCTGGTTTCTTTTCTTTGAATACATAAAAATCATTAAATGTTACACATCCAGGATTTTCCATTGCACCCCAATTATACTCATTAACAAATAAAGAATCATATTTATTGAATTAATATTTGACTCCAAAGAAATCCTCATAAAATTTCATACTTTTTTTAGTGACTTCAAAAATAAAATCTTTAAGATTCATCATATGTTCTTTTAAACTTTCTCTGCAATAAATAGTTTATGGAACATCACCTACTTCTCCTTAATATTTAATTGACCAATATTCACCTGCTACTAAAGCAAATAAATAAGTTGGTAATATTTTTGTCTCACCAAATACCCAAAAGTTGTATGAATCTTAATTCTCAAGATTTTAGAGTTAACTCTCTATAAATTCTTAAGGTTAATATGCCTTAATAAGATTGGTAGCTTAAGCATAATTAAACTATCCATTTTGATCAGCATTTTCATTTGA